TGTATAGTAATGTATTTTAATGTATATCAATGTGTATTGATGTATATTGATGTATATTGATGTATATTAATGTATACTAATGTATAGTAATGTATATTAATGTATATCAATGTATACTAATGTATCTTCATGTATATTCATGTATATTAATGTATATTAATGTATATTAATGTATATTAGTGTAAATTAATGTATATTAATGTATATTGATGTATATTGATGTATATTGATGTGTATTGATGTATATTGATGTATATTAATGTACAGTAATGTATATTAATGTACATTAATGTATATTAATGTATATTAATGTATATTAATGTATATTAATGTATATTAATTTATATTAATCTATATAAATGTATATTAATGTATATTAATGTATATTAATGTATATTAATGTATATTAATGTATATTAATGCATTTTAATGTGTATTTATGTATATTCATGTATATTCATGTATATTGATGTATATTAATGTATAGTAATGTATATTAATGTATAGTATTGTATATTAATGTATATTTATGTATATTTATGTATATTTATGTGTATTTATGTATATTAATGTATATTGATGTATATTGATGTAGATTGATGTATATTAATGTATATTAATGTATATTAATGTGTATTAATGTATATTAATGTATATTAACTTATAGTAATGTATATTAATGTATATCAATCTGTATTGATGTATATTGATGTATATTGATGTATATTAATGTATATTCATGTATATTAATGTACATTGATGAATATTGACGTATATTAATCTATATTAATGTATATCAATGCATATTAATGTATATTAATTTATATTAATATATATTAATATAGTTTTATGTATATTAATGTATATTAATGTGTATTCATGTATATTCATGTATATTCATGTATATTCTTGTATATTGATGTATATTAATGTATATTAATGTATATTAATGTATATTAATGTATATTAATGTATATTAATGTATATTAATGTATATTAATGTATATCAATGCATATTAATGTATATTAATTTATATTAATATATATTAATATATATGATGTATATTAATGTATATATAATGTATATCATGTATATATAATGTATATTAATGTATATTAATGTATATTAATGTATATTAATGTATATTAATGTATATTAATGTATATTAATGTATATTAATGTATATCAATGCATATTAATGTATATTAATATATATGTATATTAATGTATATTAATATTATGTATATATGTATATTATGTATATATAATGTATATTAATGTATATTAATGTATATTAATGTATATTAATGTATATTAATGTATATTAATGTATATTAATGTATATTAATGTATAGTAATGTTTATATTAATGTATATTGATGTATATGGATGTATATCGATGTATATCGATGTATATTAATGTGTATTAATGTATATTAATGTATATTAATGTATATTAATGTATGTTAATGTATATTAATGTATATTAATGTATATTAATGTATATTAATGTATATTAATGTATATTAATGTATATTAATGTATATTCATGTATATTAATGTATAGTCATGTATATTGATATATTAATGTATGTTATTGTATATTAATGTATATTAATGTATATTAATGTATTTTAGTGTATATTAATGTATACTAATGTACATTAATGTATATTAATGTATATTATAACGCATATTAATGTATACTAATGTATATTGATGTATATTGATGTATATTAATGTATATTAATGTATATGAATGTATGTTAATGTATATTAAATAATTTGGTATAAATAGGCTTTGATCCATAGCCACTGGTCATTCAACGCTGGAAACCAAAGGATCTTTTGGACGGTCAGCTGGCTCGGAGGCTTTTTTGACACACGGCTGCCCGCATGAAACGAATCGATGAGAATATGAAGGCTTCCATCTGGCTGATACCGACACATTGACACCACTTGGATGTAACCGACTTGGACATCAACATCGAAAGCAAGAGATACTTCGAATTATTTTAGATATAGTGATATAGGGTCTTTGTATCTGAAAAGAGTCAGCAAGATTGGAAATACGCTTAATGTTAAAGGGTGACACGGGAATGGCACGTCAAAAGTCAGCTGCCCAGTCGTCCTGCGCATTGTTTTTGACGAAGAGCTTGTTCCGCCCCTCGGACCTCCAGTGCATGGAGACAGTCCCGTAGTAATCTAACCTGGGAAAATCTTAACCGGAAACCATCGATTTCCCATTAAACCAATGGGGCTTTCCTGCCAAATTTCCCTTAAACATCCTTAAACCAATCCATTGATCATATGGATGTTAGTGACATGTGCAGCCAAAAACGTGGAACCAACCGATGCTGGATGCATCAGATGCTGAGGCTGCTGCATACTGTCCCTTGATGCCTGGCGCGCAAGCATCTGCGTAGCATTTGTCTGAAAATATGGTACAGTACCCCAAAATCCAGTGCTTAATGACCCGTTTCCCTGTTGAATTGTCAAAAAATTGCCATTTTGTGATTGGCGCTTTTCAAACACACCCAAATCTCAAAAATATGCCCAGGTCATCCCAGGTCCCATTCCATCCCAAGCTGATTAAATCACAGTTCGGCGACGCTCCTGTGCAGGCTTGGGCACTGGCTCTTCAGAGTATGTCCTGGCGATCGGCTTGGGATGACTCAGAAATAAGCCGCCCGCTAATCCAAGCCTCAATATATGTATATATATATATATTCACATAATTATATATCTTTATATAGTGTATGCATTTTTTCGGCATGGCAATGTATGAAATTAAATAGTAAATATAATTTGGAATGCATCATATAGATATATTACAACTTCAAACGTACAGACATACAGTAAAGATAACATAAAATAACCACAACTAGAACTAAGTAATTTTCATCCCAAGTGTACACACAACGCACTCCCCCCTACCCTTTTAAGTGACCAGACGCAGGGGGTGGCTGGTACGGAGGCGTCAGCTTGCGGGCCTTGGTTAAAATCACCACATGTTCTGCGTGTTCTTTAAAATCTCAATGGATGTAGTTTGACTGTTGGTCAAAACTTGGTAGAATATATTAAACTCACCGTGTTCTAAATATGTTGTATAATTATCTCCTATCTATATATATATACACAGTATTGTATACACAGTATTATATGGTGTACATCTTGTAAGATTCGGCATCCTCACAGTTTTGGGCTCTGGCCGTCAACTGCTCCCAGGAAAAGGTGCCCGATTTGAACCAGCCGCTGTTCTTTACCTGACTGGCGAAAAACCAGGGTTCCCAGGGTTTCAAACGTCACATCACCCCATAGCTTGGGAATATATATTGAAAGTGGGCAGATTCCCAGGGTTTCAATATCTTTCAATAGCCAAATCGCTTGGGAATCCACTTTTGGACCAAACCCTGAAACTGCCTCCTGCACTCCATGGGCACCCAGTCTTCTCTCCGGCTTTACAACAAGCAGCCTGTCAAGCAAGAAACTCAGGAGTTCATAATTTCATATTTGTGTTTTTTCTCCAGTGCATTGGAGCCAACCTTTGGCAGAAAATCCATGCCAGCCAGACTTTTTGATGAAGTCTCTGGCGAGAATCAATGCAGGAGGCCTTATCAACAACTTCGCCAAGTTTCGGATCCCTTTAAGCCGCCCCAGCCAACTTAGGCACCGGCAGAAAGCCATCCGGCAAACCCTGATTGTAGCCTTGGTGGCAACCAAACCAAAGTTGAAATCAGCCGACTGCTGTACAATCTGTGCTCTGTGTTTTGTGTCTGTCTTTGCTGAATGCAGTGGCATGGGGGTCGACTGTGGCTCGTGCTCTCTCTCAGGGCCAAAAGTTGCCCCATGGGGTTGTCGTCGTAGCCCATGCTGTCCCAGGGTGCTTGACCACTAAGCATCTCAAAAATCAAGACCTTAGTGGGCATGTCTGGCTTTCTCTCAGGCCAATCAGGGTTGCCCATGATCTTTAGATACCCAGAATTGAGGCAACAAAATGGTATCAGACCAACCATTCTATCGAAATGTTTCATGTGGACAGTTCGATATATTTAAGGCTTTCATGACCATGACGCTGTGAAAAACACGGAGAAAATGACGGCGACAACTCACAGGATACGCCAAACAAAACTTGCCAAAATCCTCTGAGGAAGCAGCGCCAAGGGCCCACCAATCCACCTGACATTGTGACACTTAGGTCTGTTTGAGGTCACCATTTTAAGCGGACATCATAATCCCAATTAATACATCAATACAACAGGTAGATCTAGGGTACTGTATGGTACTTACATGTACTTACTATAATGCCTGGAATCCCTACTCTTAACCTAAGGATTTCCGTAAGAAAATTCACACATCAACCTGATTGGCTGAAGGGATGACCGTCAGGTTGAGAGTTCAACTGATGGTCTTGAAAAAGGGTGAAGAGAGCAGTTGATATTTATGGACCTCATTAAATCAGTGATTGTTGGTCTAGTCTGTATAATTCTTCCAGGGTTTCCGCTCAAATCCAACACTACTTTGAGGGTCACAGAGACGTTCTCGGGAAAACCATTGCTTTTGTAGGTCACTATATCGCTTTCCACGCTTCTTATAGTTCTCGAAAAAGATACTATCTGCACCAACCTCAATTTGGTCTTGTCCGATTTCCTTCTCTGAACCTATGTGAAAACACCCTAAAGTGCCATGGTTGATCATCATTTCCCCTTTGAAGAATCCCCATTTGCGGGTATCCTCTGTTTTCGGCCAAGCCCCAATATCATGTTGTTGAGGAAATACAGGAATCACCCCATGAAATATATCAAATATATTGAATCTATTATCCCCATAAAACGGTTGGTATATTATACCTCCACACGTAAATCGCCAGTTTTGATGCTTGAATCCTCCACTTTCCCTGGTAAAATCCACAATCAAAATGAAAATAGGGTGCCCAAAAATCTGATGGCTGATCATATGTCCCATTACAATTGTTGTTTGGGTGGTTATGCCCCATTTTCGCACAAACCCAAGATACAAATATAGAATAGGTCCTAGGTTTTTTTCCTACATCCCATGACATATCCCCATTTTTTCAAATGGTTAAGTTGTCAATATACCGTGCCCATGCTATATTCTACCCCTGTGGAATGGCGCCCATCGGTCCAAGGCCGCCAAGGCCGCCAGGGGACCATGTGATTGTGCTGATGAGGAGGATCAATCATCTCTGGAGCCATGTATTCTGGAGTCCCCAGCAAGGTATGGGTCTTACCTTGCTGTGATTCACAACAGAAATGGACGGAACATGGATGGAAATGCCTGAAAATGGATCAGAAATGGGTGAAACGTGGATCAGACATGGATCAGACACCGGTAACAAAATAAGGATGAAACATGTATCAATCAACAAGCGGTCTCAATGGGTGAACGTGGGTGAACATGATATAAGTTGATGGACATTGACGAAATGATCGAAATGGAAAGGCCGCGACCTCGGGACCAGACTCAGCACAAAGCGTGCAAAACCCATGTCGCAGAGTTTGGCGTAGCCGGAGCTGTCTAGAAGAACCTCGATCTGCAATCGTCTAGCAGCAAGAAGTGCTGATATGGGGTGGCTTTCAAGGCCAAATCAAGGGCGAAAAAAGGAGATCTTGAGCCACCAAGATGCGATTCTGTTGAAAATCAAATGAGCCATGAAAACCAACCTGTCCCATCTCATTATGCTGGTTGGTGAATAGGTGTCTCTATTCTGGGTTGTCACAATCCCAAATAAATTTGGTAGTATAAACCCCTACAATCACCAATCAACAACCACTGGTTTGATAGTTCAAACTTTTTAAAACGTCGGAAACAATCATGGCTAAGTCCCATGAACTCCTTGTCTTTCATGGCTCAAATGTCCAATATGTCCACTTTGCCAAGGAACATTCTCGAGCTTCAGATCTCTATATGCGATGCGCCGCTCGTGCAAATATTCAAAGGCCTGGGTATCAGTCATTCGTTGCGCGGCGACGACTACGAATAAACCGACCGGCAGCGTGGCGCTATGGCTATAAAAGTCATTAGGGTACCAGTTGACCTACCAGATTTTATCATATTAATCTAAAGAATGTTTGGTATTAACCAATATTAACCAAACATTATTCATCTACCAAATGTATGTTTAGTATTAGAATGTCTTAACCATCCAGGCCAGTTCCCATCGGTGCTCATGAATTGAACCATCTTCTCGAGGCGCGGGCCAAAATGACGCAGCTACTATAAAACATCGCAGCATAGCCTTGGGACGATGGACGAAAAACTGGACTGTGGTACGTGTGGAAATCATGGCTGATCGTTTTGTCGAAGTTTGTTTTTCATTATGTGTGTACTGTATGTATCATTAAATATGACTATGTGATACTATGTGTGTATGGCTATGTTAGGCTATGTATGTACGGCATTGTACGGCTATGTATCATTATGGTTGACCACGCTCGCCATTGTTGGCACGGGCACCTCGTGGCCTGTCAGAGAGCAGGACCTGGCGCATCGTCCAAAAGACACTGGGAACGTCGGAAATCGCTACAGGGCTGCCAAAGATTTAGTTATTCTACCTTTTCTTGTAGTGATTGTAGTGGTGAAAACAGGTTCAAAAAAAAAACAGCAACAACTTATGCCATAACCGCAGATGTTCAGTGAAACCCAAGGATCAAACTTCACATGCACTTTTCCGCCCTCCAGTGCTTTGTATCGCCAGGAGATCAATCTGTCGGGATCTCACTCTGGGACCCACCATGACCCACCTATATTCATGTGAAAATTCAGCGCAACTCCAGAATCCGAGAATTGGTTCACAAGAAATTTCACACGAAAAAGAGCCTGTAGTCCCAGCAACCCATTGATTCAACATGATCCAACTATCCACACTGTGCCTGAGGTTTGTCGCACAGCAGCTGGTACAAATGTCCACCTGGAACCAGTTCTATCAGCATGTAGACCTGTAGCTGAATCAGCCGAAGCAGCCAGCTCCAGCAGGTGTTTTTTTTCAAAAACATGGAACTTCAGATGTTTAAAGTAGCGCCTCCGGCAACATAAAGATACCATGAAACCCCGTTGCAATTGGATCAGCAAGTCTAGGTAGTTGCCCATGTCAGTTCACCTCTTAATACATGCAACTACACACCACAGATTGTGCAATGTCCTCTCAACAATGTTGGAACATCTTGATTGAATTCGCAGACGCTCTTTGATCGTTCAAGGACAGCCAACCCAGACTTTAGCATCAAAAGATCTCAAATGTTCAAAACATCAACTCGCTCGCTTGAGCAGTGGCAAGGACCAAACGAGAGGAACTAGTCTAAGCTTCTGGCATATTCTTCATCCTTGTACGAGCCATAAAAGCCTAGACCAAGTATACCAAGTAGTGAAACGGAGTGCTGCTCCAAAAGTCATCAACAAGGGCACATGCAACGGAATCAATTCTGACATAAGCTTCGCACGGGTGATGAAGTCACAGTCCATCCTGAGTTGTTGTCATTTTATCCTCTACACCTTCATGAGCAAGTGCTGCTCATGCAGAAGGCACTCTCATAAACTTCCCTACTGTCCCGGAATTGGTTGAAGGTAAATTCTACCGGAAACCTCCCAGGTTTCATGGGGTCTTCCCGATGATTTTCTGTAGACTTCCCCTGAAAACAGTCCGCTGAGACAGTGCCAAATTCGATCCACTCTGTCCGCACTGAGGACATGACATTGAGAGGATATCGCGCTCAGCACAGACCTGCTTCTCAGCATTTGCCTTGGGCGCAACTGCGGAGTAGCTATTAGCAGCTATGGAAAAGACAGCTGAAAATGGGAGGGATTTACCACCCCAAATAGCAAGTCCACCAGGGAAAATCATCATGAACCGCTGGATTTAAGTGGCTCCCCAAGTTTCATCCCCAAAGAGAACATTGAAAAACGGCGCACCTTACTGATGAGTCGGTGAATCTGCAAAACCCCACCATGTGCAGATCATGTTCCCTGCAAAAAAAAACAGATGGGTCGTGAGTCGTCAGTGTTTTGCCATGTCTGCTTTATCAACAAATATCAACAAGTTGTGCCCCTTCCCATCTCGGCAGCACACTTGGACAATGTAGCCTTTGGACAAACGCTTCAGTGCGTACTCGATCCCTGAGGATTTCGGTGGATCCCACATGAATCCCTGACCCTTCTCATGGGATCCACCAAGCCAACAGCCAAGTTGGTTTTCCGGTGACCATCCCAGTGGTATACACAATAAAAACCACATTGACACTCTATGTTGGTGGATACGATTGGGATGAGTCTGACACCGAAAAAAACCATCAATTATCCAAAATCATCACTGAATTGAATAGGAAAACATTGTAAAACTCCAAAATCAGACATCATTGTGATTGTTTCCAGAGTTCATAGGCATGTTACATGTTTGTCCAGTTTCATCCCAAGAGTATCCACAATTACATAATAGGAACCCATAGTAACCCCTTGAAATTGACGACCTGGTAGGTCCCTGGCCATCCTGGCCTGGTTTGTTTCGCCGGTGGCACAAGTAGACGGCGCCAAAGCCACCTTCGCCCAGCACATGGGTTCTCCTCAGCCCATGGTCAAGCCATGGCCAGCAAGATCTGGTATGATCATCCAGCCCAAAATGGGAATCCTAACATAACAGCGTGATATGTGATATGTGATATATGATAATATATACATATATATATATGATCATAATATGATCATAAAATATGATTCTATGATAAATCCCGTTGTAATGGAGCTATGACCTTCCCCGCACTGGGCGACTTCCACGTCGACGCAAAGTGTTACCAAGCTGAGAGCCCCGGCTCGAGCTCATCAAAGGGAATCTCCTCCCGATGTGGTCGCACTGCAGCTGAGGACCTGCCATATACTGCGCAGTTCCTGTTGACCAAAATTGCCGGAATTCTGGGTACTGAATCATCCAGGTATTTTTTTTCTCCATCTTCATCCATGTTCCAATTTTTGTCCAAAAAGCCATACTGATTTTTGATCTTGAAGAAATTACCATAAATCATGAAAAGTCATCCCATGTTCCAGTTTTTCTTTGGTCAAGTCATCCCATTTTCCCATTGATCCCACTTTTAAAAAAAAAAGGATGACTTTATGACTTTATGATTACCATCTGGTTATTTAACATAGCCATGGTTAAAATCCACCCATTTTTAAGTTCGGTAAACCATCTGTAAACGTGCCATTTTCCATGGTTATGTTAAATAACCAGAGGTGAAAACACAAAAAAAAAAAAACATGGAAATTTCTCAACACCACTGAGCTCAGGCACTTCCGATGGTACTCCACCAGGGATGTCTCCGTCCCCGGCCTGGACCGTAAAATTGGGACCCGTTGTTTCTGGGTGAATCCTCTGGTAAACTAACATAACTATGGAAAATCACCATGTTGCATGGGAAAATTCACTATTTCTATGGTGATGTTCCATAGTTATGTTAAATTACCAGAGGGTAATCCTTAGGATCTGATTAAAAAATAGGTTCATGATCCACAATTAGCATTCTTATAAAGAAAATGATGACAAACCATGAAATTTGCTACAAGATAATCCCAAATTGAATCATTACCATAATCCAAATGGAAATATGCAGCCATCCATGGCAATCAATACTGGGTATGTCTCAAAATGTAATATGTTGAGCAGCAATCGTTGAGACAAGTACATTCTGTATAGCTATTGTTTAATGGCAATTTTGGTGTCTAATATCCCGATATGTCCCCATGATTTACGTGTTACATATGTTCATATCATATCATTGTCGATATTGTTGGTTGTGTACCTCATTATCCCCATTAGGCATTCCCATCGTTGGTATGTATCTGTGTATATTTATATATATATATATTATTTATTTATTTATTTATTTATTTATTTAGTTATTTATTTATTTATTATCATTATTACTATTATTATTATAGATATACATTATTTACCGGCCAAACCCAAAATCGATAGAAAATCTGAGGGGAATTCATCTACAACATCCTTGATAAATGTGTATCATATTATATTATTATATCATTTTACATCCAATAAAGGGAGGTACTATCCCCCATCCTCCAAAATTCCCCTTAGGCTCTGGCACTCCAAAGTCGGTTTCTTGACCAGTGACCTCACTAGATCTGACTGGATCTGGATCTGGATGTCTCCAAATGCGAAAGCGGCACCGATCCTATCGAGAACACAACTGGTCGAATGATCTGTTCGTTTTATGATGTTCTTATGATGTCTGAAGTGTTTTGTTTATGCTACAATTTGATACAATTTGGACAAAAATGAAGCCTCGTTTTTGGTCACTGGTCACGCTTGTCTGGGCACCAGACACCCAGTGGCAGATTTCGAAGGAGCTCCCCATCCAAGACCAGGCAAGTCCTTGGTCGTTGAGCTGAGACTGGGGGATGGGGGAAACCATCCAACAAACTAGGGATTTTGACCATGAAGTACCGTGGCATAGTCCAAAACGTTGGGTCGTGAATACAAAGAACGGCTGAAGTACACTGAAATGGGTCGATGGGTTTTGCCTTCAGAATATTGTGCTCCGCCACTTCGCTTGTTTTCTCTTTTCGAATCGAAACGGCCAATGGCAGGCAAGTCTTTGGGGTGCCAATGGCACCCTTTGCACTGCGCAAGCATATCTGCAGGCAAAAGCTCAAAAGAACTGTTCAAATGCTGAGACTAATAGAGAACCTGAAATCCAAAAAGGTAAGATAGGGAAGCTCGCCGTTGCCCATGCACTAGCTGTCTCTCGAGGCTATCAACTCTTGAAGTTCAAACTTCAAGGACTTCAACTACAACGCAGTCACTTCCACGTCATCGTCAGCATACAGCGGCATTCACTGACGTTGTCTCCGCCACTCAAATGCCCACTTGCACGTCTCGATGCCAGACATCATTGTTGCCATTCCTAGGAACATCCATTTTGCCAACCACATACCGCAATTTTGGTCAGTTTTCCCCTGCAGAAAACATGGCCCCTCGGCAGCCACCATGCCACATCTCCCAGCGGTGATATTATCACCGAGGCACCCAATGGGATTCTGAGAAGCCTTGGGCCAAGGCCACTGAAGCCAGCGATGGGCTTGGCAAGCAGATATTGGAAAATGTCCTTGGCACCACAAATCTCAAGTTCAATCAAATTCATCTTTGATCAAAGTATGATGGTTTTTCATAATATTAACCAATATTAACCATCATGAAATTATCTCCAATATTTAACTAATATTAACCATCATAATGATTGTTCATCTTTAACCATCATGTTGGTATGCTTTTTAGAAAGTTTTATGGATCAAATTTTCAGATCCGGCTTGACTCGCCGAGGCGCTTTGTAAGAGCCCGACTTTGGTCCAGCGGTCCTCGGCGGACTTTGGCTCTATGCCGCTTGCTGTGGGTCAAAAATTGAAAAAAATGCACCCCATATACATATAAATGTTGTATCTCTATGTGTATATATATATATATGTATGTGTGTGTGTGTCTATTTCTTGATTGGTTTGTTTGTTTATCTATCTGTGTATTGATTTATTGTAGTTACGCAATGTGTATGTAAATATTATGTATATATATACATAATACATACATATATATATAGAATATGTATATACAATATGTATATACTATACAATATGTATATACTATACAATATGTATATACTATACAATATGTATATACTATACAATATGTGTATACTATACAATATGTATATACTATACAATATGTATATACTATACAATATGTATATACTATACAATATGTAATTATATACTATACAATATGTATATACAATGTGTATATATATATGTACATGTTTATCCCGTGAAATTCCATTGGATCCCTACTTACTAGTTCCATTTTGAAATCAACGAGAATCAAGCAGATCAGCCCGTTCCATGTTCCGTCTCCAAGGTACGGATCGGCCATGCCCTCAGTTTGGTGCTTCTGGCGCAATGTCTTGATGACATCAATGGGACAAGTGACAAAGGCCGCGAGCCCTCCTGAAGTGAACAAGGCCGGGTGAACAAAGCCTCACTTAAACATGGGGGGTATCCCTCAGACAGTGGTAAATCATGGTAAATCTGCTATCAAAATATGGTCCCCCCAATTTAAACTGCCCAGGGTTTGGTAATCCAGGGTTGACATGACCCACTGGGGATGGCTACTATTATTGGGCCAATCATTGGCATGATAGCCCGCAATTTATGGGGCATCACAATTATACTATATTAGTCAATAATTGGGGATTGTTGATTTTGGTTGGACATTATGTTTACCGTTTACCATGGTTTATCGGGACCACATTGAAGGACCCTTTGAATCACCACGATCCCATGCCTCTAAGATTTCCAGGGTCAAGGTTTGATTTATGTCTTCAATGCCTCAGAGTCGGAAGTCAGTCCTGCGCTGCCACCACAAGCAAATCCATGCAGAAGGGTTCTTAAGCCAGCGTTGGAAACCATCTCGGGTTCTGGCATCTTCTTCTTGACAACCTCGTAGACAAACCTCGGCAAAAAAAAATACTGTTTTTTTCAGCAAAAAGCATGGCACTGAAATCTCAAAATAGGGTACCCGCACGAATTTGATGGTTTATCAGTGTGTCAACACATTTCCAATGTCGAAATTGCTATTTTGGGGTATCTCATCTCCATTTTCAGACAAAGGCAAATGATTTTCAAAACACCGTTCCATCCATGCAGCTCCGCAACCAGTAGATGGCACTGAATGGCACATCTCGAAGCAGGGTCATGGAGTATCCCTGCATCCAAGAGCCTCAGAGATTAGCAACTTCAGCCAGACCAGAAGCAAGTCCCTCCGACCAGACCTACTGCAGTCTAGCATAGTCTAGCTGTAGAGAAACTCAGAGAAACCATGGGTGTTTTTCGGCTGACCTCTTCCAGACACAATATCCAGTGCTGATAAAATGCATGAATGTTTTCTCCTGCCAGGGAGCTTAAAGGTCTTTGCCGCTGCTCCATCAACAGAGTCCTTAAACGAAGGCGACCTGACACAAGAACAGGCAATATCTGCAGCAGAACAAAACAAAGTGAAGTCAACAGGTATTTGTCAGCCTGTGTATATATGTTTATGATGATTTTCCTAGAAAATCATATGGGATTCGAAATACTCTAAATAATATGCAATCACCATAGACTATACTCATGCAAAATCGAAGCCTATGATTCCCAGTTAGGTGCCCCCACCTTCCTCGGCTTGAAGTTGCGTTCGAAGAAGCTCCAAGGGCATTCGCAACGTCACCTGGGATCTTCATTAAATGGGCGGTTTTTTTCAATGGAGGGTACCATTTTATCCTCCAAAATTGGTCATTATCCATGGGAAAACCAATGGTTTAGGGTTCGCATTTTTTAGAAAACCAGCACCCAGCTGTTAAGGCTGAAAATCTGCAGAAAACCTCTGGAGCTTTGGGAATGAGAACCCAGGGTGTCCCGTAGATTTTACCTTATTTAAAGCCAACCACTGAAAACATGGGAATTGAACCGGACGAAACATGGGGGTTGCTATGGTTTTGGATCAGATTGGATCAGAATTCTGTGCCCAAAAGATGGGTTGCTTCATGCTGAACATCATCAAGATTGGGCCTCACAAAAGACCTTTGCCTCTACGATCCGAAACCATCGAAGAATCGAAGCTGGAGGTGTAGCCATATTTTTGTTGGTCAAATCCTCCTTATTGTCATCTTTATCCACATCTTTGGTGGATTACATATTACAAAGTGTGTTCCCCTAGTTAATTGTCTGATTAAATCATGAAATCTTTGCTGGCCGGATCCGTATTTCGATCCTGTTTGGCTGGTCAAAGCCTGCCATGTTTGGCTGGCTAAATTTATAAAAATCACACATGTGTTGACTAAATCAATGATGGTTTCCCCATGTGGCTCTAGGTCAAAATTGGGTACCCCCGACAATGGATAGTTAAATCATGTTGAATCCGGAAAAAAAATTGGCTCACATCTCTGATCCCCTGGATCCATTCCATGTCAGGATGTGGAACAAACTCATATTGCAATATATTGCACATGTATGCACATGTCATATTCATTCATCATGTAATCTTTAATATCCCCAAAGAATTCTGCCCCTTTTCCCAATTTTTGGGGGTCAAATGGAGGTGTCCGCTTTGTCATGTGGCCACCCCCAGTCATCGCCTCCACCGTGCGTGCCACCACAGCTGCGCTCAAAGGAGCCAGCGGGTGATCCTGCTGAAGCTTCACCAACTCATCGTAGAGGCCTCAAAACAAGTGCTTATAACCAACCAAAAATGATCAAAGATTGGTTGGGTAGTTATTGGTTTATAATGATCAAATATTATAACCAAACATTGGCTTATATTGATATAAATCTGGGAAAATCCTGGTTTTGTGGAAATTATTGGGGTACGTAACAAATGTGGGGTTTTTAAGCCTGAGAAAATCCATGTTTTTCATTTGGAAGTCCAAAAAATGTTGGAACATACTTAATCTATCGAATTGCTGGATATGTTCCATCTCCTATTTAAAAAAATGAGAAATGAGACAGAAGGATGGGATAAGAGGAACTAAAAAAATGATGATTGATTTTACGGTAAAATACGTTTAAATCCCGTTTTTGTATACATCTGTATATGTACATATATATATAATATGTGTGTGTACGTGACTTTTTGACACTTTTTGATGTTTTTTCCCGTCAAGCATGGGCGTAATGTTTCATGAGAAAAATACGTCGATCAAAACATGGAGTCTCCGCAAGTCGCAAGTCAGGCGAGACTACAGGATGCAACTGCTTGGGCAGTGGGGAATGACTTAAGAAAGTGGGGGTTCAATTCAAATGTTAGTAGATTTAAGATGATTTAAGCAGATTCGAGCTGCGGCATTCAGAAGCAAAAGGGAATTGCCCAGCAATAATTATGGGATATTATGGGTATCACCTACTATATGGCTTTATGGGTATGGTATGGTTATGTATGGTTGGGACGTTTGGCAGGAAATTCTGCGGAAGACTTTTCTGGAGTTGGCCAACCTCGAGTTTTCAACATCTACAAAGTTTGGAGGGCTACTGTAATGACAAGATCTGGATAAGAGAAAATACCAAGTGATGAACCGACTCCAGCAGTGGGAAATCACATAAATCACCATCCTTCCAATGCTTCCTGCGCCCATCAGCATCATCAGCTGCGAAAAGGCAAGGCACTGTAGTAGATCACAGTGTACCTTGTGCCGGAAGGTGACCCTGCTATGACCATAGCGATGGAACATGGTTTGCCCTGGCGATTGCCCAGATTTGATTGTCATGAATTCAAAGGGGTACCAGTATGGTACCAGTACCACTGCTTGCCCAACACGGGGAGTACTCGGCACCTGTATTACCCGGGGTTTTAATGGGATGTTTTGGATCTCTCAAGGTTTCCTCTGGAGTGGAATGACAACAAGAAAGCCCCTAAGAAGTATCCCCCAAAAGCCACCCTAAGAGCCAGAAACACACAGCCTGTCAGCAAGTTTTCCAGCAAGTTGCGGCGATATCAGCAACTGGGTATCCATTCCACCTCGGAGATAGACAGGAAATGACTTGAAGCCTGGAATTCTTAAGGTCCTACCTGCTAGCTGGCTAGCTTTATTCAATTGCGCCTCGCATTCTTTCTTGCCCTGCTGGGCTTTCATCTTTCTCCTTGGCCACAAATATATACAAATATGAGTATCAGTCAAACAATGGTGCCAATGGACCCATAAAATGTTCCATGTTTTTATGAAACCATCCGTTTCGGAGGAATTTGTCATCTTGACGCGTACCCAAATTCCATCAAATTCCATCAAATTCAATTGTCATCTTTCCGTTAAAATTGGCTAAGCTGGCTATGAATTGAGGGTCCCCATGGGGTCCCCGTCAGCCAAGCAGCGGTACAAGCCCCGCAGGCCCTCCTTGCGGAAGACGTTGCGCGCCACTTGTCGGGCTGACGGATGCGAGCCCGGCGAGGCCTCGTGGGTGGACTGGGCTGGTGGTGAATCTTGGGACCTGCAGGTTTACTGGGAAGTTGAATCTATGAAAGACATCACCTGGATCAACAAGACTTACAGTGACTTACAGTGACTTAATTACAAGGTCCAGAAGGCTTTCTGAACTAGAAACATGTCCTGTCCTTCAACGTGCTTCCCTTATTCAGTTCTGGGGCTTGATCGTCACAGTGCCAAAACACTTGGCCGGGCCTGCATCAACGTCTTCACGCGGTCGAATGGTACCACCTTGATTGCAAGATCATCACTGAGTTCCGGGCCCAATGGGACCTTGTGTTCCGTGTTCTACTGGTGTGTAGCTCCAGGAGTTTTCACCCCATGTCACCCTGATGTTGGTTAGGTTCCGAGTGTCGCTTGGTTGTGACTCATCCTGTTCTGCATTTTCTCCAGCGAAGGTATCTGCCAAGTTGCCACCATGGATCCTGCCACATAACCAGCCAGAGCAGACACGGCACGCTCATAGCCGGAAATGTCGCGGCGGCTTGTGGCGCTCATGGTCAACTAGAAGCTGCTTGGCGGTGTCCTAAAAATGTATACTCATTTGGGGACCATCATCCCAAGTGTGTCAGGCTGTGTCAGGATTGAATATAATATAGAAAATGTGACAAATCTTACCGCCAGTTCTGGTTTGAATGTCCCTCTGCTCTTAGTATCATGTCCGGAGAGAGCAGCCACTGCTTTGTGTCGAAGTTCGGATCGGCTTTGCAGCAGCCACCTCACACCTCCTAGCGCCTCGCACCGCGCACCTCGCTCGTGTTGTATTGTTTTGTATCTGCAGTTGTCTCACTGGTCGTTGTGGCCAGACTCAAGCTGGCAAGCTGACAAGCTGGAGCCAAGAAAATTCGACGATGAAATTGGAAACCACCCCAGAACACTAAAATGTCTTTCATCGTTAGACTCTTCAAGCCTCTCATTTTTGCTCCAATTTGATGACTCAGTAGCAAGAAAAAGATTTGAATTAGACTTGGAAAGCAATAGAAATGAGACTGATGATGACTAATTTTGGAGGTCGAACATCCTCTCAAATCCCCTACTGACGCCCATTTTGGGGTGAAGCAATGGCAATCTGAGCTCTCGGCATACCTTTGGAACCAGCCTCAGAGGTTTCATGCGTGGAGTAGAATCCATGGTGGAGCTAGGCTGGTGAATCTCCACTTTCAAGTGCATGTTTCAATGTTTCCATAATTTTCCAGATATGTTTCCTCCCAGGCAAATCAACTCCCTCTTCAGAGCCCAGCCTGCACAGTGACTTCCGCTGTTCGCCTTACGAGGCAATCCATGCTGATATCAGCTGGTATCCCCATTGGCCCATTTTTCATGGGAAATACAGGAAAAACGCTGATACGTGATATGTTTTTGAAAATGATTCCAAATGATTTTAAGTGGTGGATTCTCGGTTGCTAGCTGCTAGCTGAGCAATTCCTGGTGATCAATTCGCGTGAGCTGCGAGCAAACCACCAGTGAGGGGCCAAAGGTCTCATCCTTGAGGTTCAGACTGCTGCAGGAAAATGGCACGCTCACCAAAATGGTTGCCTGGGAGGACGTCACAACATCCGCCCAAAAAAAGAGATAGATCACTTCAAGACAGGACATGACCAACCTTGTGGATTTTGCCCCTACCCCGGAAAATGATGGTAACTTTGATGGTGCATCTTCAAAGTTGATTCATTGAACCCACCATTGCCACGTTTTCCATAACTCCAGCGATTCTGGCCTCTGCGCAGCTCGGCAGATAGCTCGACCTGGCCTGACATAGCAGTCAGATTTCCTGAGATTTGGAAGACCTTGTGAATCATCATCTAACTGCGGGTCAAATTGCTGGTCCTCACATCACAACAACCGGTTGATATGGAGGATAACAAAATCATAGGTGAGATGAGATGACTATACGACCCCGTCCCCAATAGTGTGGCTGCTCTGCTAGTGGTGCGACGGCCTGCTGAATCCTTGCGCGTCACATGACAGCCTCAGTGTCTGAAAATTGGGTGACCCCCAATTCCCGCGGTTTAGAACCTCATGCTCCCCACTAAGAAAAAGTTTGGGGCATCCCCCAGTTTTGGACAAACCCATTTGCAAAGATCCTTTGCTGCATGTTTTTGGCGCATCGGTTGATAGGAAACCTCAGAAAGCCGTGGGCCAGCGCTGCCTGAGGCCCCACACTGCCTTTGTCAACGACAAACCACAGCTGTTCGGTCATCTCCCCTTGTGTCATGACCTCAATAAGATCAGGCGACCCAACCCCTGACCCTTGACGCATGGCCACAGCACTGGGGCTCTTGCGAACTCATTCGGCTGGAAGCCTAAAACGTGCCCAGTAGCTGCTCTTGGTACAAGAAACAACTCCACTACTATTCCTTCTGCTGCTGGAAGCCTTCCATCTGAGCATTTTATGGTCCGTTAGGGCAACGGCTCATCATCCCCACAGCATTGCGAGCAACCTGCAATAGATCCAACTGAACCAACTGAACCAGATCAAGAAATGTAAGCAGTAACGGCTCACCCTGGAAAGTCAGAAACATCAGCTGGATAATCAGGAAGTTCCCTACTGGAATTGCCATTTGGGTGGTAAATCCCCCATTTCTGGCAGACCCAGTTGAAGTGCACGCGACAAACACCAAAAATCAGGCCTCCGCCCTCTCAGATCTCACTAGTGCATTCAAAAAGTGCACCTGGCTCCGAAGTTCAAATGCTTCTGGCACATATGGTGCAATTGGATTGGCGGCGGCGGCATCATGCTGTATGTATGTATGTATGTATATATATATGTGTATATATATATGTATTGATACACACACGTATACATGTAGATATATGTACGGGTACACAGAAATTCTGTATGCATGTGTGCATATATATATAAGTACTACACGCAGTGTTATAGACATTTGTAGCACACAAAATGGAGCGTGGTTTGGGGGCTTCGAATTTGATAGCGCCTCATCCAAGAGTTTGATCCACGTTTGCTCCTTTGGCCAAACTTGCCAAGGATCTGAAGAACAGCGGAAGAACAAATGTTTTCTACGACTTAGTAAAGTCAAAAACATGGACTCATATAGCATCAAAATTTGCCCAACATGAACAGCATCAGCAGTTTGACTGCTGGTGGTTGCCGTATACCTGTGTATGTGTATATATATATATATATCTACGTATATATAAAGAGAGAAAGAGATAGAGTGAGGGAGAGAGGGAGAGAGAGGGAGAGCGAGAGCAAGATGGAGAGAGACAGAACCATTCTTCAAGCGGTGTAAAAAAAACAGTGCCGTTGTCTCCTGTGGACGCTCACGTTTGCCAAAGCACCTAACAGCCAGCTGGAAGAAAGGGACTCTTCTTTTCAAGCCAGGGCTATAGACTTCAGGTTTCGTAAGAGGCAGCAGGCCATGTTTGAGTTGCACGTGTCAAAGGCCAAGGCTGTTTGAACGCCTTGTAGGGGACGACATAGACCTGTCAGAAAAAAGACAGCAGCCTGCTCTTTGGAACTGGTTTGACTGGTTGACGGGGAGTCCCAGTCATAGATAAAACACAATATGTCCATATATTTCCCACTAAACCTGGTAGTAAAGAATCTTTCTCAACCACCATGGTTCAGGCTTATCTTCCTGCGTTCGATGATTTCATGGTCAATAAGTGTGATAAAAAACACATTGAAGGCTGATTCGGTTCCCTCTCATTCGGTACTAATTGGGGACCGTCTCCCTTTTCTGAACCTCAAATATCATACCGTTACTTATACTCATATCCCATACAACATATTCCCTTTACCAATGGGTGGTGTCCCTTGCCTTTTTTGTCCTCATTCTTGATTGTTAAAAGTGATATCCTAAATTATATCTCATGAAATATTCCTGCAAAAAAAAAAACATAGCCCTGGTTGGTCAAAACATCTATCATACCATTGGATCCCTAGAAAATCTTCCCCATGGCAGGAAAAATCTGGAGATTTTTTCGAGTCCCGGACGACCGAGGGCTCCACCGCTTTGCAGGTGGCTAAATGGCGCCTGCCAGGCTTGGAAGATTCGAGTTGTCATTAAAACATCACTATTTTCAGGGTCTATGGAGATGGTACAGTGGAAAATATCCCCAGTACCCTACAGTGAAATCCCCAAGAATTTACTGTAGGGTACTGGGGATATGAATCTTGGGGATTTCAACTGGATGGAGAATCTCCGGTTCCAACCGGGATCCCCGGCGTGTTGTACAAGAGCGACAGCTCTCCGTAGCACTCTCCGGTCCTCAGAGTGGAATCTCTGAGGGGCTCATTCCCATGTGTCACTATCTATAAGAAGTAAAATGATGGCTATGATGGCTGCATTTCAGGACCCAGTTGGCTTATGTTGGCTTTGTCCAAGAATGATAAAACCATTGGTTTTTTCAATGGTTTACCCTAAATTGTCCCCACACTTCGCCTATCAATGCCCAGAAAAATCCCACACTCGGTGGCCCCCGCCCGAGGCGACACAAAGCTTCCGCATCCTCAACGGGGCGCAGCAATTGCACCTGCAAATCCATGCCGACTTTTCCCATGGTTTCAATGGATTGGACATAGAGAATTATAGCAACCAAAAAAAAAGATAGAATAGTGAAATCCCACTAAACTTAGTGATAATTCACTGTTCTATATGACCTATTTGGGGGTTACTCTAATCATACATAAGTGTTGGCTATCAACCAACAGAGTCAGTAGTGTTAAAATTCCTGGCCATATTTACTGGCGCTGTTGATGGTTGACAAATAACACAGCTGCATGTTGAAGTTAGTGTTATCAGCTGTTATTAACATATCTATGAGTTATGTTGGTGTTTCAACTGGGGATGGCTTAATAAGTTGGATGATACAGTATCTAACATAACTGGCGAGTGACTCAGTAGATATATCTGCAGTTAGATGGGTTACTTGAAACTGCTGATGGGGGAGTACAACATGGCACGGGGATGGGTAAATATATACAACATGTACCACTTTGGTGTAACCGTAAAAATAGAAATGATCATCCCATTAGTCTTGCGCAACACATGGTTGGTCATGTTCTCCCTTATATTTCCAGCAATGGGAAAGGACCCCAGCATGTTCCTAACCTTCGCCCCAGCCTTTGCTTCCCTGATGCCATCGGGGAATTGAACTGTGACGCGGCCTTGCGGCCTTGGCTTTGGAGTTGGTGATGTGGTAAACCCTGGCTGCCAGCCTACATTTGGGGATCATATTTACCCATGTGTGGTTCTATATTGGGGATGGTGTATGATTAGGTTTGCCACATTAACGTGGATGTATATTATATGATAGGGACAAAATCGATACCCTACCCCCAAGTTTTGCAGTTGATGATACCATTTCGGAGTTATGACAAACATTGACAAGCCATACTCTAATTTAACACCAACCACAGATTGATTCCAAGACATACCCAGCTGGAGTCTCTTGTTTCAATGAATTGTTTTTGAGGGATTTGTTTCAGGATATCATAGTTTGACCTCTCGGGGAGGGTCGGGAGGGTCCTGTCGATTTCCCCTGAACTTTGGCGCAAAGCCACTTGTGGGTGACCAGAAAAACCATACCCCGTTCACCATTCCAAATTGCGTATAAACCATGGTATAAACCATACCCCAGTATCATTCCTTCAAAGTTGGGTATACTCTGAAAACTCCACTGCTCAAACTGTTATCAAATCAATGACAGAAAAAAAAAAAAAAGCACTCTCAGGTGGTGAAAAATGGCCTCTTCTTGACTAGACTGGTGGCACCCACAAAGCGACAACGTCATCTTAGATGAAATCGGCCATTCTCACCCACTGGTTCATAGACTTCATTCACATGGAATTTGATTATGAACCTAGTGGACCTAGTATTTAAAAATTTGGAGTTTCTGTTCTTATTTCAATGGATTAACGGAAAAATTACAGGACGAATCCTGTTTTTTAATGCCCATTTTTTCTGGTTGGGTGAAGCAGCTCCAACCATCTTGGGCCCCTTGGGCTCGGTGACCCAGGGACAAGGACATCCATCACCTGGCCCACGCCCATTTCCTGGCACAGAATTCGAGTGGCTATGTATCCCAAGATACATAATATGAATAATATATATATAGTCATCAATATCTGTATACACATATAATCGGTATTTCTATATGCTATGTATCTATATATGTATATGTATATCTGTATAATGTGTCTGGTATATGTATAATATACCATGTGTAATTATATATACACCCATACATTACATTACATTACATTACATTACATTGCATTGCATTACATTACATTACATTACATTACATTACATGTATGCTCGAGTCTGACGAACCCGTCCTTCTGGAAATCCCAGCCAGCCACCAAAGCTGCAACCTGAGGCAACCAAGAGCCACACACCACCGAATGCTGATTTCCCATTGGTTTCCCCTCTGGTTTTATTGGAGGGTGTAATGGGAAATCCCTATGAATGAAGTTTCTAGCTGGGAAAATCATCGAACTAAAATGGTTTGACGATATTTGTTTTTGCCCAGACCCCCTATTTGCAAGGTCAATCACACGGCTTTCCTGTAGATGTTCCATTCAAATCAACCCGATTTTCATTGGGACTGAAAAATGGTTGCTCGAAATTGGATGCCAAAATATTGGATGGTTAACGGTTAATAATAGTTAATAGTTAGTTCCTCAAATAAGCCTCAAAACTTCACCCAATTTGAGGAATCTCCGTGGAGATTCCTTGAGGCTCCCGCTTTGTCCCCTGGTTGAAATGGCGACGTTTCCTCCTCATCCTATGTCAACGAGAGCCCCCTATGTCAACGGAGGTCTGCGACGTAGGTCTGAACGCCATGATTCATGATCCAATCTGATCCAACCTTCTCGGACGTAAATTAAAAAATGTGTATTTAAATACCATGTGTATGTTTACCCCAGCTATTACCATCTTTCCGAAACTCTGTCCAGACATCTTTCAACAACGTAAAGCCCCATCGATACGCAACGCCGGCCGAAGCCAGTGGAGGTTCAGGCGCTCATGTGTGTAGAGGTATATATATATATACACACATACCTAGGGATGGGTCAAAAGCTATAGTAATGTATTTAATATATCATAATTGATATACCTGTCCATTATATGTACAGGTATATAATATTATATATATGATATATATATATGATATATATATATATATGATATATATATATATGATATATATATATATAATATATATATATTGTATTATATAATACATAATATATATATATGTATATATATATATTATGTATTATATAATACATAATATATATATATATATAATATATATATATACACCAATATCATGACATTATATGTGGAAGTGGCCAGGATTTCAACGGCCACGCCTGCTCCTGGCCATCGATTGAGATGGCACGTGGGAAGAAGGCGCGGAAGCTGGTGGAGGCTACACCACCCACCCTAGGACAACAACGTGGGGATATGATGTACCAAGGTAGATTTGACCAAGACTATGGTGGGTTTTGCCCAAAAAATGATGATTTATGTCAGATGGACACACTTATATGACAAGACACAACAACATATCTTCCTTCAGGAAAACTATGTTCTGCACCGATGGGTCCAAAAAGGGTGGTCCACTGGAAAAACCACGTCTGCTGAGGATGATGCTCTGAGCCCCTTCTCTTCCTGACATGCCATGGAAGTGCAAAGAAGTGTGAAAACCACATAGCTTTTTGCAAAAAAAAAAGCCAAACTCCCCCCCCAGTTTTCCGCTAACGTCTCCAAGTGATAAGCAAAGGCGATCTGATAAACCCAACAAAACAAGCTCTTTTGGGGCTTTGGGGCTCTGGTTTGTTGATGCCAAATGGATCCAAATGGTAAAAACCATTGGTAAATGGAGTAATACGGAGTAATGTCAACCCTGGATTTTCTAAACCCGTAGGCTGTTTAGGGGGGATACCAATTAAGAATCATATTAATTCACATTCTCACTATTTGAAGGGCACCCCCATTATCTGTTTAAGCTGAGCGCCAGGCGATCCCGGGCTCTTGTTCGGCATGGACTTAGCATTGCCGGGTCCAAGGGTCCATGGGGTCCATGGTGATGGATACCCGAACAAATAGCTGGTTAGTGGAGGTGAAAAATCCCGTAAATATGGTAATTTCATAGGTTTTGACCCATCAAATATGACATGTCAAGGTTCGAATCAACCAAACTGAGGATTCTTCAGATGGACATCGCAGCAAAATCCTAGTCACCTGAGTCTCCGAACGCCTTTCTTGGTGACTGCCATTGACGAGTTGGCCGTCCATCGTTGCCTTTCTGCCCTGGGCACCGTGTACATGTGCTTTTTGAAACAGTGCATGACCGACCATAATGTGAAGATGGCTTGGGGTATATCACCAATAGATCCAATAGTATGAGATGATTGATATGTGCATCTGTCCAAAATAAGGTTGACGGTCCAAATTTGCAAATGTTTGCAGCAAAAATGATGGTATACCATTGGATTTGGGGGATACGCTATTGCTCAGATAAACTGGAACTATATCAGGTTTGCTCCACCCTGTAGGTAAATGATTCCCACAGGGACATGGGTGATGTTATCAGTATTTGACCACTTTATTTGGCCAATCTTTGCCCCTTGTCTTACGCCCAGAAGATCCCAGAATTCCAGTTGCAGTAACTACAACTGCTCAAGAACTGTCATAATCCAGCTTTAGGTTTCCCCCAATGATATTTGAGAATGGATAGATATGGATAGATATGGATAGAATCAAGTCAGAAGGAGAAAAAACTCCAGCTGGGTAACTTGAGAATAACGTGATTTCGAATCGTTGTTTTCAGTAAAGGATCGCCATGGTTGCTGCCCCGATATCTGCCCTGATATCTTTAGATCCTGTGAGACTGGCTTGAAGTTCAGAGCGGGCAAGTGCATGCGTGCGAGTAATACATAGCTACGGCTGAAAAATGCAGTACCAATGGACCAAACATATATCTTTCTCAGCGTATTTGACAATCCATTTCAGAGAGTATATAATCAAAAAAACATACCCACATCAATGTTCAGCACGGTCTGTCATCTCGTGTGTTCAAGGATCTAAGCGTTCGACTGGTTTCTTCTATGATTGGTGGTAGCTGGAAGCATTGAATTCCGCGAAAGATTGGCCTTCCCTTCCACCTTCTTTTCCTGCCGTGGCATGGGTGGCACAAACATGTTCCAAGCCAATTGCAAAAACGCCTACTTTTCAGGGTGCGTGTGTGGGCTTGTTCCCTTCCACCTCCAGATCCTCAAGAAGGGCCGACCGAATCCGAACACACCAAGGGATTTTCAATGTTTGTCTCCTCAAATCAACAAAACAACGAAAGAATGTCGGCTCCGGCTTCTCCTTGAGCATGTCAAGCAGGAACCTGGCAACGCGTAACCGTCCTGGCCTGTAACCTCATGAGTCGTCCCGCTGCAACAACGGCAAAGCTCGTCCACAAATGTAGCGTCACCGAAGAAAAGTTTCGCAAGACTACAGTACTCAGTACTCATTGAAGCAAATTGATACACTATTTGCATCGGCAAGGTGCATGGTATTCAACAAATAGGTTCTAAACGTGCCAGCAGAACTGTTGCTTTCGAACCAGTCGCTCCGTCATGGAGCTTGTTGTGAAAACTGCCTCTGCAGATCGCACTCCAGCTTTCCCTCTCCTGCGCAATTTCGTCAGTCGCACCGTAGAAATCCAAGGGTGTGATGTGGCGTGATAAGGTGCACTACTTCAATCATATATCAACTATTAAGATTTATTAAGTATGCGTTCTTGACGAACTGTTGAGGTGACAGAGGTTGATCCAGTGCACACGTGACACCAGCATTGTCAATCTTTGTGACTGGTGGATTTCTTGGATATAAACTACGCGCTCCGTCCTGACATTGGAAAATAAGTCGAATGAGCCCTGGCTAATGATGAAGAATTCATGCCTGGGACAGTCGGAGTCAACCCTCGTGGATGCTTGGATGATTCAGCGCTTTGGAGTGGTCAAAAAATTGGCGTCAAGGATTGCAGGGACTCTAGAAACACTCGAAACATCTCAGCTGTGGCAAAATGGGGTATGCCCAAAGTGGCCATTTGAAGGAATATAAGGAATAAAATTATGAGAAACCACGTGGTCTTGGGGTACCCGGGGTACCCTATTTCCAGATAAACCGATAAACCAGGTGATGCAAACGAGAGAACCCATTAATGCCCAGCGGTCAACTAAGACTTTGACCCCAGACTTCCGGCCAATGCAATTTCACCATCTGGTTGGACTTGGATACGACCTGTTAAAGCTCGGTGCCAATCGGCTATGAGCAAGAAGCACTCTAGCTTTGAAATGTCAGATTCTACACTTGAAACGGCGGGCCAACCTCCCTGTGCATATAACATACCAGTACAAGCAGGATCAAACAAGCACTAAAGAAGAGGCAGCTAGAAAAAAAACACAAATCACAACGAAGTTGTTGGATTTGTGGCCCAAATCGGCAAAAACTCGTGAGTTCCTCGAACAAGCCCATCTCTTAGGCCAAGAAACGTGCTTGCCCAGCCTTAGAAGATCTCAGCATGCTGAAGACCCCGGCTTCAGAAAGTGAGATAAAGCACCGGTAACATGTGGGATCAGTGGGACCCAGTCATTGCCCAGTCAGCTTGGGTTGCCCAGCCATTGTACGGATGTTGTCCTCGTCCTGCATGGAAGGCATATGTTCGAATAGTACCAAGCCATCCAGTGTGGCGGTGTCATAAAATTTGAGGCACGTCCCATGTCTAGAGGTTCTAGAGGTAGGCACTGGGCAAAGTACTCAGCAGCCTCCATAAGTACTATGCTGTGCCATTGAACTCTGACCCGACTGCTGTCCTTTCCCATTGCACCCCGAAGGTTGGGATTGTTCTTGACAGCCTTTGCCGCAGCAGGACCCACTCCAGCCCTAGTGTGCATTTCACAGCCCAGTTTGATGTGTCTACAGCCTTGGATGAGAGTCTTGGTAAGTAGCTGGTTTCCGTCCGACTAAGTTTCTTCCCATATTTACACTTACACTACACCCTCCAAAAGATAGAAACATAAAATCCTACTGAATTAACGGATACTAATGGTGGGTTCTATCTATTATACGGGATTGCATGGGATTGCTATATGTCATGAACTTAACTCATGGCCCATGGCCATGGTTTTCGACCCGTCAGGCGCCTTTACAATGAAGTCCACCTCAGAGCTGGCTAAACCTGACAGTTGGGAGGAGTTCGGTCGTGTTCGGTCAGCTCTCGGAGTTCTCCTTTAGAGATGGACTACATAGTGACATAGTGGCATGTGATTCTGTTAAAGGATGACCATTGATGACTCCCATGCAAATAGAAACTTGAACAACACCTGGATGGCATGATACCAAAGTTTCCTGGAAGGTGTCACGCACTGCAGATATTTCCTGGACGGTGATTCCCGAATTCCTCAGGACCATGACCGCCAGAAAGACCTTCGTCGCTCTCCTCAGTGTGGAGCCAAGAACCGAGCCAGGAACTTGTTGAGCCAATCAACCCTGGATGAAAAAAAACTGCTTGGATTGGAAGATCCATTCGAATCGCACATCATAATCATCATCTCTCTTCTGGGGAACCCCCCGATCAATTAGCCCAGGTCTTCTTTTTATACTGGACATTACTGGACAATACAGAAAAAAATACGTAGAACATCTGCTGCAAACATCCGGCAAGGCTCGTGGTCCATGAAAGCCAGTTTGCGCCTGCAAGAGGACGCCGCTGGCATCACAACTACCGTCACAAGACTCGGCGGTTGACATACCAACTGGATAACACTGTAGCCTATCATATCACTGGGGATATCCGATAACTGGGTACATGCATGGTTCTATATTCATGCCACTAGAATGCACATCTACACAGTAAAGGAACCTGGGTTCGAGCATGATGTCGTCCATGCGCCGCCCTTCGTAGATGGCTGGCCGCCTGTGCGTGAAATCACTGCTTTCTGCAATTGGGGTTCAAATAAATCCCGAAGCACAGGCATTTTGAGCCTAAGGCGAACTCATAATCCGATCCGACAAACAACCGTGCTCCTAGGGTCATCTTGCAGCAACTTTGCCTTTTACCGGATTTGGCTTTTCGAGAATATGTCTTATATGTAGATACATGGGTTTGTCTGAAAGTTGGTGATACCATCAAATAGCAAATTCAATGGGGAACCTGACTGTAAACCATCAAATCTGGTGGGTTTTTTCCCGAAATTGTCAGGCAAACCCACTTTTATACACACGAAAAGCTGTTCGTTTTTACACATCCAATCTGCCCTGCCTGGCAAACTTCAGCTTTTCGCCGAAGCCCAGCTTCTGAAAGTCCTCTCGGGACAAGGTCAGGAGTTCCAGCGGTTGAGATCCCTTCCTGGCGAATTGGCGGAAAGCTTCGGAAATGGTGAGGAATTGGGCGACACCGCAACATCAACATGAAAACTGGAGGCAATCTACCCTCTGGTAAACTAACATAGCTATTGAAAATGGCCATTTATAGTGGATTTTCCCATTAAAAATTGTGATTTCCCATAGTTATGTTAAATTACCAGAGGGTATCAAACTCATCCAAATTCCAAAATCTGCCCAGTTGGTTCTGGGGCACTTTTCATCACTCTTCAACCAATCACAAAGGCCCAATTATCACTGGACTCCTTTGGGACCCACAGACCCACATGGCATCCGCACGCCACAATGGTCGCGACGTTGGGGCGCTTCTCGGTGAGCCTCGAGATATGGAGATCCGATCTCACGTCCGATCTCACGTCCGGAATGGGAGGAACCAGTCGTATTATGTATGTAAGTATGTATGATATGTATGATATATGTGATGCGTATGATGTGGATAATGTGCATGATGTGTATGAGATGTTGATGCTCAAAATTCGGAAATGCCAAGCTTGCCCACGTGCGGCCACCGAAGTAGTCATAGTTGTACAGGGTGGCGCACTCGAACCTCACCAAGACGATAGTTACCCTCCGGCAATCAAACATGGTGGCTGCAAAATCCCCGATCTAAATGGACATAGCTGGGGAAAATAATCTATAAATGGGTGATTTCCCAGCAAACCATGTTTGATACCAGAAGGTATTCCCAGTAATATCCCGGTGTTGTTGGTTAAATCATATGATATCATATGAAATCCGTAAGAATCACACTAAAATCCCAATTAATGTTCATTCAACCCCCATAAAATCAAGTTAATTCCCATTCAATCCCCATGAAGTCCAGTTATGAGTCCCACAAAATCCTGTGAAATCCCATTCAATCTCCATTAAATCAACGTCGCTCCCGTTCAAGGTCATGGCTCACCACCATCCTCATCCTCTCGGATCACCTCGATCTGGGACCGCACCGACCCGAATCCAAGGCATATATCATGGGGGTACGTGTACAGTCGAGGGCTGAAGTCAGAGCAATTTTCTTGAATGTGGACAAACCGCTTGCGGAAAAGTCGCCACGACCGGGTCACAGCAGGGTCATGTATGCATGTATGCATGTATGTATATCCGTCCATCTATCTATCTATTCTAATCTATCTATTCTAATCTATTCTATTCTAATCTAATCTAATCTAATCTATCTATTTATCTATCTATCTATCTATCTATCTATCTATATATATACGTATATATATATATATACATATTTATATGTATACATTTTCAGTAGGAATATTTATATCATTATATCATATCTATACATATATGATCATATATGTGTGGCTATGCCTTTTCAAGTGCTGGATCTTCTTTTGCCCCAGCACCCGTCGCAAGTCCAGCGAGTCCAGCTTTGGTCGACTCTGGGGATCCGAGCGGATGCTTCGCCAGCCTTGATGATGAAAAAACTCTGACCTTCTCGGCCTGCTTCAATCACACGCTCCTGGCGACATCAGCTGTTGTTCATTCATTTTTGGGACCAAAGGGACAGGAAAATCATGTTTAGCATCCCCAACAAAAGAAGTGAAAAAGAAATGTTAACACTATTTCAGTAGGGTATCATCATGTGTTTCTAAATTTTCTAACATGAATTAACCACTATTTCGCTAGGGTATCATCCAAATTTTATCTTTTGTGGGCTCAGCCGCGGGCGCCAGGCTGAAACGACACGGCTTTCAGCGCAGCTGCAACCTGCAGGAGCAACGTTGGCAGCTAATGATCCAGGTTAATCTATGGTTAATCCAATAAAATGTGTCATTATGATTCTATTGAAATATGATGTGCTGTCATAATGACACTAATTTTAAAAAGGATCATATCATGATCTGATATTTGATAATATGTCTATCATTTAGCCATCACTATGGATAATTATTGGATAACAACATTAATTATAATGGATGATGATGGATCATTTGTCGTTGTCATAACTTGTTTTGATGGATAATTTATTATGCTAATTGTTATCTTCACAAGAAATTATGGTTATGATAGCCATTCCAGCTAATCCAATAACAAAACTGTGGTTATCATCCTGCAACCATAATTTATCGAATGATTGATGATGATGGTTGCAGGATAGCCATCCATCTAAAAACTCATTGTCTCCAGTTACCATCATAACTTATCAAATAAAGATCACTTTATTGATCCTTCAAAATGCCTTGAAGTCAAAGTTGGACCGTTTCGTGTACACATCTGGCAAAGGCTCATCTGCCACGGCTTACTCTCCCTGTGGCGCGCCCTGGGAAGCTCAGCACGGGGAAGCTGCTTCCTGTCGTGTGAAGTCTGTCATCTCATGTCCATTCTCGCATCTTCAGGAACGGTAACAAACCCACCAGGGTTCTCCAATTTTCTCCAAAGAAGAAAATCCAGTTCTCGCAATTGGGTAAAATCCAGCGAGACCATGCCTGTGTTTGTTGGTGAAAATGGTTGAAAAACACCAAGTCGCTGGGTCCTCCACCATTTTACCATTTTTCTGTCCCCAACTGTCAACAAAAGCCGGGTCAACTGGAAGAGTGGGACGGCTCCCAGAAAAGTCAGCAACTGCTGAAACCTGGGTGGATCTGACATAAGGGGAGAAAACTATGAGAAACCGAGAAACTGCTGGAGAAAATGGATAAACAACATCAAGCATGTCACAAGCCTTTCGCAACAAAAAACTCGGATTTCGTGGATCAAAAGCAGCTGAAAATCGTCCGAGAGTTGCTATTGAAAAATATCTCACCGACGGTTCTTGAGGCGTCTCATGGCGGCTAATCGGCTAAGTGCCAAGCTCTTCTTCACTCATTTCTGGCTTGTTGCTTCTCTTGACCTGAGACTTCATGTGTAAGTTGCTGCATTCTACAGCTTCGTTCCATCCTCTAAAATGATGGAGCAAAATGTCCGGCAATCCATTTGTGTCTCAAATTTCTCTCGTCAAGATCCATACCAGGTGCCGCCTGGTGCTTTGTTTGATGTTTTTTTGGGTGCCCAGCCAGACTCACCAGCTTATAGAAGCTAGCTGAGCAGGCTTCATTGCAAACTTCGCCCATCTGCTGCAGTGCATTTGTCACACCTGACGTCTACCAGGTCTACCAGACATCGGCGATGCATACGTTGCATGCCATGGGTGAGAAAAACCTGTTTGGAACAATGGGTGTCTCAGGGGACTGTGGTTGATTAAGAACAGGATTCCCGCTTCATGGATGATCGCAATCCCCAAGATCTTGCGTAGTATAAAATATCACCTACCATCATCAACCAACGGGATGTCTTGTAGCCATGCTTGGCCAAAAAGCGCCCTGCCTGAAGTGTCGCACAACGGCTCTCTCCGATTCCGCTGACGCGGCTGTATTGCCCTGTGGTGGTGCGGCGGTGCCCGTATGAGTGACAGCAAAGAATCAAGCGGCACAACAAACTGATGTTCTTGATTGTTCAATACTTGTGCAAGTATTTTCAAGCTCCCAATTCCTTGGCAGTAGCAAAGCTTTCCACTAAGTTTGTGTCCAGACGCGTTCAGTTTCCGGAATCCTTTGACAAATTTTCAGCGACTTCAAACAAACAAACAAACAAACAAACCAGAAAGTACAGAAGCTGCAAAGGTTCTTGAAATTAAGTTCAAGTGGGCGGCCCAGGACATTAGTTGCAGCTGGACATGGGATCCCCCACGTTGTCAGAGTCGACCCTATCCTTGGCAAGGCGCGGTCATCAAATCACGAGGAGATTGTGCAAGAAATGACTGTGCCAATGAAAGAAAGGAAAGAGACTTGGAACCATGACTAATCGTGATTAATAGGTGGTTAACAGTGATTAATAGAGGGTTAACAGTGATTAATAGGTGGTTAATCACTATTAATATTTTGAGATAACACTCAGTGACACTGTTTGCCAACACTTTGCTCATGATTGTTCGTCTGAGCTGAAGCCCACTGAGACTAGCGACGCAGCGAAACTGGCGGTGATGGCAGCCCCTTCCAACACCTCAGTCAGCGCAGATCTGCATGGGCATTGGGAGGTGTCCGCTGAAAAGAAAACTCTTGGCCAACTGTGCCATGGTCAAAATCTAATGGGTTAGGGTCATCCCACCATCAATAGTGATTCCGTATGATGGATACTAATTAACCACAAGTAACCCTTATGGCAAAATGGCAATCCCTCACGAAAATGGTCATTTGACAAGGCCCCGCGCAGCAGTCGGCATGACGGCAGTGGCCCAACCAGTGGTCCGTTACTTTGTCCAACTTCAGTTTTCAGGTGTTTGGTCTGGTTGCGCCTGCATTTGTGTCTCTATTCCACAAGACTGAGGTTTATCTCAAGTGCTGATGCTAGAGATCTCCAAATGCCCTGAGGTATCCAACAACCTTGAAGCGGTGGCGATCTGAGGCTGCAAAATAGTTGTTTGCACTGGAGTGGCAGTCTGAGTGTCAAAGTCTTGTTTGAGGTTTCTCATGTATCCAAAACAGCTGCGCGAAAACCGGAAAATCACAGGAATCTGCCTTTGGAATACATCATGTGGCAGCAGAAACCTCATGTGTAGCAAAACCGATAGTCTGTTTGTGACGCTGGGGACAAGCAGCAGCGAATGCACGGTAACCACATGAAGCACCGGTTCCAAGCTTTGCACTGCCGCCAAAAAGAGGAGGGTCATCTGAGTGAACCTACAGCAGCTCCATGACCAGAAAAAGGTCAATGGGTCAGTCAACATCACAAGAGTCCTGTTTTTTTGGCCCTGAGAATTCCACTGGGGCCAGCGATGATCCCAGCATGGCTGTGAGGCTTTGCCGTGAGCTTGTTGACACGGATGATTCCGGGAAAAAAATGCGTTGCCACGTCATTTCATGCCATGTCCATGGTGACTGTGAAATCAATGCTGTCAAAGAATCAGACTACTTGCAGTGACTCACATTGCCAGCACAACCAGTACTACTCAGAGCAGCTACTGCTCAAAGAACGGCAGAGCGGTTTCCATTGCCACACATGGGATACCCTACCAGCCACCAACATTGACATGTGCCATGGTCAAACAATGTATATATTATGAGCTATGGTCATCCCACCATCATTAAGGATTCCTTATGATGAACCATCCCCTTGCGTGGGAAGAATCATCTCTAGGAAGGCCCAAGACCAGTGAATAAATCTAGGAGGTGATGCCCCCCAGTTGTCAGTTGGTGTATGTTCACCCATCTAACTACTAGGTGCCCGACCCCCAGACGGCCGTGCTGTTATCAGGCCATCTTCAGCAATAAAACTGTTGTTTCACTGCAGTGAAATGAGATTGTTTTTCTTTCCAGCTATGAAATTTCACGTTTGAAAATTTCCCCGAACTACTTCATTTTTTCATGATTTGGGCTACTTCAAGGTTATAGTAGTGACGGTAGTGGATCTGACTTATCCCACTGCTCTTTGCTGTGCATTTTCTTCACCATTGCACACGAGCTGCTTTGATGATGTTGGCCAAAACCTTTGCTGGATTTTTCTATCCTTTGGCCAAACGCCATTGATACATCATCACATGTTTTTGATATCAGGATGTTCCTTACAATCACGACCTATGGCAACCCTATGACGACGTAACAGCAGGAAGAAGACCTTACGTAACAGCAAACCCTATCACAATGTAGCAACATCCAAAGCACGTAGCGTGACAGCAATCGTATGGCAACGTAGCAGCAGAAAGAGCAAGTGGCGTAACAGCAAACCCAATCAGAACGTTACAACATCCTGAGCACAGCAGAAAGAGCAAGTGGCATAATGCACATGTGTTTTTTCGCAGTCAGATGCACAGAAATGAAATGCACAAAAGCAAGACGTTACTGCTCCCCCAACCCACCCCCTCCCAAAAAAAGGTGACAAAAATCATGACTCGCCACGGCCATCTAGGGGTCGGGGTCCAACTACTAGGTACAGATATCCATTAGTAAACCATAAACCTAGTTGTAAATCAACAACTCGCCAAAATATATGGGGCTTATCCCGGTTATCCCGCTAAATATATCTAAAAGTTTTACCCCAGCCGCCGCAACCGTTTCTTTCTCACATGCTGCAGCTCATGGCTTAGCCACTCGCCCGCGATGTGGAGGTGGCCTCAGGGGGTTTGGCATGGGGAATGGGCCATTTGAATCCACTTGAACTATAGGGAAAAACATAGGGAAAAACTATGGTAACTATGGTTTATAGGGGGTATATCATCAGTATATCTGATAGTATATCTATACGAATCGTGGGCTTTATAAACATTTATAAACCAACTTATAATTGTGGGGCACCACCTTGTGGACCTTGGGCCTGAGACAAAGCCATAGAGGTCTCCCCCAAAAAGATGGGAAGCTCCAAAAAGCACCAATTGGCGCCAACCGAATTGCGCGGTGCGGGAGTTGAAGCTGAAAATCACCAGCAAACAAAAATGGATGCTACGGAGAATCATTTCGTATTCCATGGAAAGTGTGGAAATTGGATGGTTCCTGAGTCATTTTCCAAGCGTTGACCACCCCAGCATCACCGTCACAGCTGAGCTCCTAACGTGGGACCTGGAGAGAAGGCAACCTCATTGGGAGACGTCCGAGGTTCGGAAACTGTTGGAAGATGCTATGACACATAGATAGAGATGGAGATGGAGATGCAGATTGAGATGCAAATGGATGAACGGATGAATAGATGGATGGATGCATGGATAGATAAATAAATACAGTGAATAAATGAATAGAAGTGTATATGTCTCTATAGCTAGAAAAAATCGAAATACACAACCTTCATGAAATACATATTTATATACCCATCACAATAGTTCGAAATAAATGCTTGAAATGTCACCAGCAACTCGTGGATCATGAGTATGAATGTGTGTATATATATACATATATAATCATATATAATCACATATAATTATAATCATTTATAATCATATATAATGATATATAATCATATATAATCACCAAACCAGGAAAAAAGTGCTGTCTTCGCTGCTGATTTCATCCTGGGGAAGCTGCTGCAAAGACACCCACGGACTGGTCTGTCCCTTCCCGAACATGTGCCTCGAAACGGATCATGTCCAGGATTCGAAACGGGTGTTATGTTTGCGAAGGGATTTGATTAAATGTCTTCACAAGTGCGGCATCACTCACTCCACATTTACACTTGTACATAATATATGTCGTACACCATTATATAGTATGTATATACATATAACTGAAGGAATATGATACTATTCTCATAGCACTTGGTCCGGGCCGGCATGGCAAGCTTGCAATGGCCGTCCGCAGTACCTGTGCTGTCGAGATGACTCCACCGGCTGCGATTCGATTTTCTTGTCTACAGTTTGTCGGTTCTGTAAACTGGGATCTCCATCTTGGATTACTAAACTGGGATCTCCGGGATCTCCATAATGATGTTTTGCCGTATGCAACTTGGTGCTGAACAGCCCCATTTTTCACCGATGGTTCCATGGATTCCATGGCAACGATGGCATCTGAGGTGGACACCGAAGACGCTCATGTTCCCATCCTCTGCACCAGTGGCCAGCAAGGTCCCCGCCTGAGAGTCGCCCAGAACTAAGACGTTGGAATTGCTAGTCCACCATCTGCCCATGTATATACAAATCACATGTATGTCTATATTCATATATATATATATATTCATATGTATACCTATGTACATTATGCATATTATGTGTATATTACATACATATATATATATATATATATCATACATATATTATACATATATTATATATTATACATATATAAATATATTATACATATATATTCTACATATATATTATACATATATATTATACATATATATATATATTATACATATATATTATACATATATATTATACATATATATTATACATATATATTATACATAATATATATTATACATATATATATATATTATACATATATATCATACATATATATATATATACATACACACACACATATGTATGTACAAATAAACGCATAACAACTGTGCTCTTCCACCAAGCCACGGGAGAGAAGGACACGGAACGGACACTGCCAGGCCCGCTGTTGCACTGCGACGCGCGACGCGGAAGGCTGGGCTCTTTGTGGTGAATTGATCATATGTAATATGTATGTATGTATGTATGTATGTATGTATGTATGTATGTATGTATGTATGTATGTATGTATGTATGTATGTATGTATGTATGTATGTATGTATGTATGTATGTATGTATGTATGTATGTATGTACGTATATACATATATATATATATACATATACATGTATATAAATATACAAATATACATGTATATGTATATATATATATATTGAATATATTGAATATATTGTATGCAGTTTGATTGGGAAATGACTACTATCATCTGGGCCGGTGGTGTGAGCCACCGGCATGAGGCTTCTGCTCCCTGCCTGGATTGCCAGAATGCAAACGCCAGTGCCGATGCTGAAAATCCTGCAGCCAAACTCAGTTGGAGTCAGTTGCGATGACAAAAATAAACTCAGGTGCTATCCCCAACAGCTTGAAAGATTCCGCGTTTTTAAAAAGTGCTTATGCCATTAAAAAACATCGGAACCCTTTGGAATTTCACAAAGCATCTGCACCAGAACCCTCCGGAACCTCACAAGATATCTGCCCCGGAACCCTCCGGAACCTCACCACGCATCTTCACCTAGACCATCCGGAACCTCATCAAGTAGCTGCACCGGAAACTTCCGGAACCTCAGCAGGTACCTGCACCAAAACCCTCTAGAACCTAACCAAGTATCTGCACCGTAACCCTCCGGAACCTCACCGAGTACCTGCACCGGAAACTTCCGGAACCTAACAAGATATCTGCACCGGAACCCTCCGGAACCTCACAAGGTATCTGCACCGGAACCCTCCGGAACTGCACAGAACCCTCCGGAACCTCACAAGGTATCTGCACCGGAACCCTGCGGAACCTCACGAGGTATCTGCACCAGAACCCTCCGGAACCTCACGAGGTATCTGCACCAGACCCTCCGGAACCTTGTCCGGAACCTGGTGTTCAAGCTGCACCGGATCGCACCGGAGCTAATCTGGGCTAAAGACCGCCCATAGCAAAGTTTTGCTGTTGGGGAAAAAAGGGGGTTTAACAATGTGCCATAGTTGGAGTCAGTAGCATGGATTTGTTTTTGCCATAATCCCATCATCGGCCTCAAAGGCAGTTATAACTACCCACCAACAATGGAGACAGGACCTTTACAACTGAACAACCGCCTGTTTATTCTCACCACAGCGGTACCGGAACCCCCTTCCCCACCTGCACTGACCTTCAGTGCCTCCCACAGCCAGACTCATTCCGTCGGGCGAGTACCTCTCAACACGGCATCAAGGGAGTTCCTGGAACTGGTTGACGCGATGGTTGATTGGAAACCACCTTGAGAGGGAAAGATCTTCCAAAAAAAAACACAATAAAAACTGGTCCAGCCAAAACACACCCAGGGCACGAGACAGCACAAACCGCGAAGCCCAGTGGGCTCAGGTTTAGTTCCTCGCAACAGTGGAGCGGGTGTGTCTGAAAATGGCGCATGCCGCATACCCCTCATTGATGGCTAATTTGGAAAAATCATGGTCACCATGGGATTTAGGTACCTTTTTTTCCTATATTTTGAGTTGTACCTGTTGCTATTTTGAAGGGGCAGATGGTAAGCTGTTATATAACGAGATACCCTATTCTTGGACTGCCGTCAAGGCTTTCTGAGGGCCAGTCCAACCTACCCGTCATGGACCAAATCATCACCTCTCCAGCGGTGGAACCTGGGCGGCATATCATTTAAGGATGACATAACAACAGCTGGGGGGTATCCACTAATCATGTACTATTGTATAATATTGTACATATATATATATATATCAATTAAAATCATTCCACTCATTGAAATTCATTCTGGGTCAACATTACCAACCCAGTCAGTCCCAATGACCTCACCCATTGCTCTGTGACTGGCGAGGGCCCCGAGGGCCACACCACTGGCGAGGCCCTGCCGGGAATCCAAAAGAACTGGCAACCCGGTCAAAATGATTGGCCCACGCGAACCCAGAAATAGATAGATATAGATATAGATATAGATATAGATATAGATATAGATATAGACATAGACATAGACATAGATGTAGATGTATGTTTCCCAAATCGGAATGGAATCCCAAACTTTTGACACAATGGGTGCTTTATTTGATGTTAAAATAGACCTGACCGGTTGGATGCCCGGTCCCCCTGCCTTCGCGTGCTGTGAAAAGTTCACCGCTTTGATACAGCCGGCATGGCCCTGACAAAGGCAGTCCACTGCGATAGCTATCCCAGAACATCCCAAAAAAAACAGCCAGAAATGGGTGCTAAACAAACATAAAACAACTAGAACTGGTGATCAACTATATTACTGATATATGACTGATTTCTGAAACAAAGTAAACTAAAAACATCATCAACTATTGTTACTATTGTTGATCATCAACCATATTTGGATCATAATCACTAGCCACTAAACATCAATCAACCAAGTGATGGTTTGCCTTGAGGATGGTCTCCGGTCTCTTCTCAACCACCTGGGACGTTGGCTGAAACCCCCATGAAATCCCCCAAGGGTGTGTCGAAAACCATGGAAACCCCATGAAAGCCCGTTGAAAATCCTGGTTTGAATCATAAGCCCACTATAGTCACTATTGGACAGTTCAGATCAAACTCAAAACTTTATCTCTTTTCAATCTCATCCATACTTTCAATGCCATGCAGAGTTTCACCATCACCTCGCCTTCCAAAGCCTTACTGTGAAATCCTGCCAAAATCGGCTGAAGCTGGCGAGGGTTTCGTCACCAATTCACATCTAATGAAGATTGAAAAAAAACAGCGATGGATCCATATTGACCCCACTCAGAAAAAATGACCCGCGACAGCCACACAAATCGCACATGCATTCGTCCTCAGATCCTGTTCCAAGGGTGAGCCTGGCATCAGGTTGCCACTGAGTATCCCAGTTGCAGCACTTCAGAAACTCCAGGAAGAATCTGGTGGCAAAAAAAACAACTTGGGGGAAAAAGATGTAAAAAGATGAAAAAGCATTTCAAGATCCAAGGAGAAAAGAGGATCGACGTGAATTTCTCTGTACCATTTTTGCTTTGGGGGGGTCCGTTTTGGAGGCATCAGGATTCAATCCTGCCAGCAGCACGAGTCTGATGAGAAGGCTAGGCTTGTCACGGAGCCAGAATGCCCGCTGAAGACCTACTGACCATCTGACCAGTCAGCCATCCAAAAAATATAGGATGCTGAAGACCCTCAACTGTGAGTTTTCCGGTTCCTTCCCAGCCTTCATCGCTCTCCCTGTCTCAAAGTTCCAAACGATTGCAGTCCTGACGGTCATTCACCAGTCATAGCTGGATGTCATTTCATGCACCAGAACCATCTCTGGAGCCTTTTTGTTGCTCAATGTCTATTGCTTTAAGATCTGCTTCCAATCGAAAATGGGATGACTATGGATGACTCTAGTTTCATGGATAGTTTTATAGATCTATGCCATATAAAACTATGGGATAACTAGAAATGTTCATTCCATTTCTAGTTTCTATCTCCAAAAATTCACCCATTTCACCAGGACTTCACCATGGACGCCATCGGATCCTGTCCAAAGATCCCGTGGCCAAAAGTTGGCCATTGGCAGAACAGGCCTCACTGGCTGTCACAAAAAGGGACATCTGTGGCTTTTGAATTCCAAAAGTGGTGGTTTCATGGTTAAGGTTCCTGGAAAACCTCCACATCTTTGCTGATCAAATCTGAAATGATGTCAGATCCCATGTTTTTGGCTACTCGACTCCCTGATCTTCGTTCCTTGAATCCTAGTGAAAACCACTTTGGGAAGGCCACCAGCAAAGATCAGCGATTGCTGAGTGCCTGGCGACACCGGCGATCGGAGCTTGATGCGCTCGGTACTCCCTCGCCAAGTAGGATGGCGATGTGAATGATCACAGCAGTAGTGAGTGTCAAGACCGCGATTCTTTAGCTGTTTTTCTAGTCATTATACTGGTAGCTGTCAAGACACAACACCGAGGGAGTAGTCATTACATGGACATGAATGATCTGAAGGGGGGATCAAGCTTTGGTGGCTTGGTGAACACTGCGAAAACGAATCCAATAGGATAATAGGATATCTGTGTATATATATAATTATACATATTCTGTGACGTTTCCCTGGTGTTTGATTAACATCAACAAGCACATGCTTTCAAATTTCATCACAAGCCTGGGGCCTTATTTTTCCCTGGTTTGGGTGTGTCTGAAAAGGGGGTATACCCCCAAATTCAGGGCCGTGTGAATATACGTTCATGGGGAGATGATGATTGACCCAAGGATTTTGGGGGTAGCCCATTGACAAAGTTATGTTTTTCCTTATTGCAGCCATGGTGAAGTGGTAATAAATCAGCAAGACTTCCTCGACGTTTCCAGCCTGATGATTTCCCCAGATGTCACGCTACGCAGCTGCACATGTCCATCCTGGATTTCTCAGGCTTCAGTCGCGACGTGTCCCGCAGAGTCTCAGGGGATATATACTGTACTGAAGAGATAACGGGAGCAGCATACCATATATAAGGTCTATCGATCTATCGATCTATCGATCTATCGATCTATCGATCTATCGATCTATCGATCTATCGATCTATCGATCTATCGATCTATCGATCTATCGATCTATCTATCTATCTATCGATCTATCTATCTATCGATCTATCGATCTATCGATCTATCGATCTATCGATCTATCGATCTATCGATCTATCGATCTATCGATCTATCGATCTATCGATCTATCTATCGATCTATCTATCTATCTATCTATCCTATCTATCTATCTATCTATCTCTATCTATCTATCTATCTATCTATCTATCTATCTATCTATCTATCTATCTATCTATCTATCTATCTATCTATCTATCTATCTATCTATCTATCTATCTATCTAATCTATCTATCTATCTAATCTATCTATCTATCTATCTATCTATCTATCTATCTATATATATAATTATATATATATATATGCAATGCCTATGTAAGAACAAGGAAATATCATGAAATATCAAAGAAAAGATGCAGCTTTCTATGGTACATTACCATTGCCTCCATTTTAGCTACCCGCAATTGCCATGAAAAAAAAGGTGTGAAGGGAAGCTTGGCTCCGGACCATCATGCCCAACACCAGCGAAAGACCAGACCTCTCAAATTTTTTATGGGTCTCAATTTTCAGGTTTTCAGGTCCCAACCAGACATGTGGTTCACTGATTTGCAGAGTACCCAGTGTTACCCTCTGGTAAACTAACATAACTATGGAAAATCACCATTTTTAATGGGAAAATCCACTATTGATGGCCATTTTCAATAGCTACGTTAAATTACCAGAGGGTAACGCAACTTCAAAGTCTTGGTGCCCCAGTGATTGCACAGCCAACTGAGCTGAGAACGCTCCAAAGGCAACTCCAGTTACCACTGAACTGCAGCCCTCAATGGTCCTGGATCAACTTAAATCTGCCTGCAGCATTCTGGATCAACAAACTAATAGTACATACTGATATATCATGATATATCTATATCTATTATATGTATATACTAAGTATAGGTCACTAACCTGAATAGTGACGCACATTGATCAATTTTGAGATAGTTGCCCCTGAAAAAAAAAACATCCCAGGGATCTGTCGCCATTACTCGTGGGCTCCTTTCGCAGTTGCCTGTCTCTGCACCTAAAAAAGGAGGCGGTTGGCTCGTCCAGTTGTGGGTCATCAGTAAATGGCTACAGAAAGTCATGGGAAAAGCAAAAAAAAAAACGATACCATTTAGTGATCAGATTGTGATCAGTAAGTCATCATGAAGTTAATGGTGTTCACCACTTCAAAGTGCCATTGCATGGGAAAAAAACCATGGTCGGTCCATGGCATCAATCGGACGAAGGACTCCAAATCTTGGTCAAGCCGTCGTCATAGGTAGCGGCCAGGAACAACCTCCGTGGCTTAAACTGTTCCATCCATATCCACTCCATCCTCCACTTGAATGCATCAGATCAGTTCAGTGAGCCAAGCAACTCGGGATAACGAATCGCCACCACCTGAGCTAGAAACAACTGCGCCGCTTCTCCATGAGTCCCTGCGATTACGAAGCAATAACATCATGGGATCAATAAGGTAGGTCGGATGGGTCAAAGTCGGCGATCTGTCAGTTTTCCATTTTGGGTGGGACAGCAATGGGACAGCAATGGGACACCCTGAGGCGAGCACGTTACACCCATCAGACAGCTTTGCATCTTGCAGGGTCAGCGCTGGTTGCAACACCTGGGAGGCGCTTGGCTTCACCCCATGGCTTCACAACTGGGTAAATATGTAATGCATTTGTACTGGCATTCATGTGTGGTGGCTCCCCTACTTCATGTCTGCAACATATGCACATCCACTTTGTATCTATCTGTATGCATGTAGTATGTATGAATCTCTGGACATACAGACGGGGGTTCGCCGGCATATCTACATCTCTATCTCCATCGAACCTAATCCAATCCAGGTCTAGTCTATATACTGATATATACCTACTCCAATCCAATCCATATACTGTAATCACTGTAGTCTAATCACATCTCTCGAGAATTGATCGAAACTCTGACGCCTCCGAATTGAAGGCCAGCATCATGTTCAGGTCATCCGCACGCGCCGCCGTCTTGATGGCCGTGATGAGTTCACCCACCGTTTGCAAAGAATGGACTTTCATCCTAGCCAGCCACGAATTGAGACCTCCAAAATACCATAGGTGTCATATATCAAATCGAGAAGTATATCATACAAAAAGTATGTATACACATATGATCATATATAGAAAATAAAGATATGCATGTCATATCATATATGCCAGTAATAGTATGACACTCCAAAATATAATGAGCCACACATGCCAAATATAAGGGATTATAGCCCAGTCAGAAGCGGTTATATCATATCCTAGTTGTAGGCGGTTATGTCGCAGGTACACCAATGTCATGACGGGATATGCTCCAGTAACAAAGAGGTATTTAATGTAAGGGTCAAAAAAGAGATATGGATCAAAAAAGATCTGCAAATCGAAAGCCTGCTACCTGAAATATATATATATATTGCTGTTTTCATCAATATATGTATGGTATATATAGATGTATATAGTATATATTCTGGATGTCCATCCCCCCTAAAGGAAATCCATAGCTATTGACAATTGATCCATCCCCAAATACAATGGGAAATCCTTATCTTTCATGAGGAAGTGAGGGAAAATCATAATTGGGGCTTGCCACTGCCAGGTCAGATTGCCATTACGGCCATTGCCAAGTGCAAAAAAAAATCACTGAGACTGAGCTGGCGGCTTCGCAAGGGGAACGCCATTCATGCGGGTGATCTGCAGGGAAAAATGTTCCTCAAATGGTCAGTAACTGCCAACTGCACAGCCAACACAGATTCGGTCCAGTCTCTCCAGTCTCAGCGTTGGCTGGGACTATTGGCATCTACGTTTCTTTGACAAAACCTCTGAGAATGAGCACCGTAATCATCGACAAAATGGTTGTTACGTTCTTCATTGATCACCCAACAAATGCGTCTGATTATGGGTGTCACCCTTTCGCAGATCGAAATCTCCAAAAAGTCATTTGGCAAAATTGGGGATGGTTCCCCAAATCCGAGTTCTGTCCATCACAATGACATCGTGACGTCGCAATGTTGATCTTGGGGGTCCGTTCACCATAAAGGAGGATTATGAATCTACCATCCATTCATATCATGTTTAAGTCATCGATCATGTAATTCCTGTTGCTAATCAAATTTGCTGATAGGTATACCCCGTAGAAGAGTATGCCGTTTTATCCCAAAAATTGCCCAGTAAATTATGTACATTCCAAAATATAGAGTCCCCACTAAAACATACTAAAACACCATAAAATTGCCAGCTGTTCCATCCAAACGAATGGATTTGTTCGGAAATACCCAGCTCGCCGAATCCAAAGCCGCCCTTAGAAAATCTGGGAATCCAAACAGACTGAGGAGCACCTTTGGCCTCGGTGACTCGTCATCAACATCACCACCATCATCACCGCAACTGAATGGGAAAATCATGGTAAATCCGCTATTTTTATCACCCTTTTCAATGGTCACCATCATCACCATCATCATCATCACCATCCCTTGCTCATGCAACCTCACCACGATCATGAACCATCCGATAGCGAGAAGCTTCACCCACGCCTCAGGCATCTTCAGAGAATGGACAAAGGGCGGCAGATCCTGGAGGCATCACTGCTATGTTTGGAACCCAATCCAGTGGAATGCACAGGAAATCTGAGCAAAAATCAAAGGATTTAGCAAAACTTGTCCAACTAAAGATGGAAAAAGGGCTCTAGCGCTTTGTTGTGGCTGGACCATGGCTTCGCTTAGGTTTTGCTATCTTGTTTGTGTACAGCAGCAACACAGCCTGTTTTCCTTCCAGAGGCTTATGCAGACACCCACAAGAAGGTGCTAGTGCATTTTCAACCACGACTTCCAGCAACCCTTCTCAAGAGATTCAACTCACTACGTTCAACTTACTACAAATTAGCATTTTTCTCTACAGGCGAAATGGGTTTGACTCTGGCTGGGATTATCATCATGTTTCCAAAAAATAGCCAAAATCCTATGGCTAGTATTGGTTGATCTGCATTTTCCCTATGAAAATGGCCATGCTTACGGGCTTAATCTACCGCATGTTTGAACAGACCCAGTTCGCCTACGAGATGGGAGAGCTGGAAAAGGGTGAACGCATCGTGACATAGTGCAGGCAAAGCAGGTGGATTCCCCCTTCCCTGACTATGGGCGCCCAAAGCAAGTTTAACCCGCTGGGCAGAAGTATTGTACAGCATTTTGAAGGAGCTCTGCACAGATTTCCAGGGCTTCACCGCGTGGTTCTTCTGATTCAGAGATATGAGGCAGTTACATGTCTTCTTTGCTCAGGCATTTTCCACAAAACACACCGAAATTCACCTGTGAAATCTGGAGGGCATCTGCTTCAAAGCTTGTAGTGCACGAAGCCTGTACTTGCAGTTGTGGCATTTCAGAACGCTTTTCACGAGCCGAGCCACTCGCACAGTACGAAGAGGATTAACAAAAGTATCCACTGTAAATGGAACTAATGAGGCGAGCAAACACATTTCATTTACTCGTCTGGGGGCGCTTCGGGCAATTCGCTGTCTGTTACAGCAAGATCACTACGACGCCGGCTTCCCTTTGGCTTTTTGGGCCTCGGAATGTGAGATGCAGGGTACCACCAGAATGCAGGGCGCCACTAAGAAATTGTCTAAGCTCCAAACACAGGTCCTGCGGAAACTGCAACCTCAGGAGAAAACAACATCCACTGCGATTTACTGCCCCTGCTATTTGGTTTGAAATTAAAACCTTGCAAATCGAATTCTTCAAAGTTCCAAAATATTCAAAGTCTCCAAACTGCAAAGTCGCACTGAAAGAACTTCTCCATCCAACAAAAACTGTGGCTTCCACTGCAGCGACAGGAGAAATCATTGATGGAGCTGCACAAGCCTGGCATAACATCGGACATACATGGAAACCCAATGGGTGGATTGAATTAAGTTTCACCCCTAATGGTTTCAGATAACAGTACATTGCGGGTCAATCCCATTCAATACCAGAAATATCCCATTGAATGACCATAAATTGGGGCCAAATACCGAAAAGGAAATGGAGAGACTCATATCATCTCACACAGTTGTGAACATGTGCTCCGCCAAGCGCACAGTTCTGCTCGTCAAATAAATAAACCCCAACCAGTACTCTGCGCGTGATTTCAAACCATCCAGCAGTCAGCAAGGCAGCGCACAAAAGGACTCTGAGTTACAACTACTGCATAGGCATGGGTATTCTCACATAAATTCTACAATTTTTGAGAGATTAAACAGTTTTTGGGCCTTCCTTGCCAAATCTCATTGATGGTATCTACCTTACATAAATCCGAAAGACCTGAGAGGAACATGGGTTGGTTGAAAATAGGGCACCATGTTCCATCCCATCCACAGTTTAGAAGATCATCATCTTCCATCGTCTTCCACCTCTTCCCATATTTTCCGTATCGTCTAATGGCCAGAAAGTGTGATCTCTCCCAGAAATTGAGGGCCCACCAGACAGCCAAACAGCCGCCTCTAGCACTTTTCGGCTCTCTCCGTCCTCAGTGCCTGAGCGAAATCCACTGAATCCATAATTGGTTGATCCATCATAATCTGTCCATGGGGGGACTTTGCTGATCTTAGGAATTCATGGAATTCTTATCCAAGGACCCAGCCGTAGACGTGCAGCTCTCCAGCTTCGGTTCCACATATGAACAAATGCCCCGCCTTGGTCTTGCAGATTGCAGATCCCCTCTCCTCTGGTACCCCATGGAATGGTCCCATGCTTTAGAACATCATTTTCGCTATTAAATTGAATGGCCGTAAAGTGGGAGATCTCCCCTTTTTGGGACAGACCCAGTTTGTTGTCTCTGCAAATCGTGCCGGCAGGGAATCATTTTTGACGGTTTCCGAGGCTGCTACAGGAGAGAAGCCCATGCTGTGGAATGGTGATGGCGTTGTACACTGGCATTGCTTCAGTCGTGACTCTGAGACACGTGATGTGATTTAAAAAAAAAAAACTCCGAGGACCGAGAGCCGATTGCAGATGACAAACGAATGGTAGAGAAAGGGATGTAAAAGACTTAAAAAGCTGACTCCGTTTTCAGACATGTTTGTTGCGGATCAATCCTGACCGCACAGGAACCGTGATTTTTCACCCCCAAAATCAGCAAGGCTGACCTGGACCCTGCTGGTGCATGCTCGGGTTGTTGCACTGTAGAACCTAAGGGCGGAGTCCCTGAGTTGCCACCCAAAATCATCCAAGGATCATTCAGAAATTATAGCCATGCATTGAGCCATGAACTCGGACGGTGATGATAAACCATGAATTTTGGGGTTGCAAATTTCTTTTGACAACCTCAGTCTGGCTAACCCCTCAACCAGCCCAGGCAACTTTCCCACTCCCCATTGGCCAGAGTCTAGCTGACATTGGGTTCCTCTTCCCAATGGTGGATAATTGATGATAACTACTCAACTGAAATGCACATGGCTGTGTTTGAAAATAGATACTCCTTTACTCCTGAAACTGATGGTTGATCATCAGTGTTTACTGTCAACATGCCAGATGCGGGATGTTCAGGCCATTTTCAGACACGCCCATCGTTTTGGTGTCACATCTCAAACCAAGTCCAACCGCTACTCCCAACGCGCAACGCGCGCAAGGCTCGGCAGCCCAGCGTGCACTCTCCATCGAAAGCACCCACTGCAAGTGACACGCCGTCGCGCGAAAACCTGGAGCCACTGGACACGAAACTCGGGAAACCACAGGATCTAGATATACCCTCTGGTAAACTAACATAACTATGGAAAATCACCATGTTGCATGGGAAAATCCACTATAAATGGCCATTTTCAATAGCTATGTTAAATTACCAGAGGGTAGTTACCAAAAAAAATGATACCACTATAGTCAACTTGTTGTTTTTGTTCTATGTTTTTGGTTGCTAGAAATCATATTGACATCTAATTCATATCATCTCATGGAGATTGCGGTGACCCCCATAATTTAGGGCTCATTCACCATCCATTCATCATTGTTATATCATCTATCATCATATGTGCTACAGGCAAAACATGGTCCCATAATGGGAGTTCAAACATAATGGGTATGTATATATATATACCATTATTATAAGTAGATTGATGACCATCCCCCGCTATGAGTATGCAATCCATCTTTCGACCACCAGCAAACACCATTTCGGGCTTATCAACCATCTATCAAATTTATTGATTATTCAGATCATCATCATCATCATCATCATCATCATCATCATCACCATCATCACCATCATCATCATCATCATCATCATCATCATCATATGCATTTGCATAGACAGATCTATAGACAGATCTATAGACAGATCTATAGACAGATCTATAGACAGATTCAAAACTATCACGTATCATCCTGTATCCTCATCATTATGTAATCATCTATCATTATTTTGCAGGACACCTTCAAATTTGGTGGTAAAATCCAATCCGTTTACATGTTCCCCACCTGAACCGTCCATTGACTATCTTTTTTGGTGCTGAAATTCCCCAGTGTTCACCCCTATTCTTGATGCTTAAATCAGTTAAATCAAGTTAAATTAAGTTAAAACAAGTTAAAATAAGTTATATAAATCCTACATTTTCTCCACAGAAATCTCTATTTCAATCCTCCAAGTGATGCTGATTCCATCTTTTTTTCGGGCCCCGACGCCAAGGACTTCACTGCGGAACTGGCCCGCGGCAGTTCCCAGACCTGGCACGGTTTTCCATCTCCGTGAGACAGCCTTATAATACTGTTGGATATATATATATATACTACATATAGAAATATTCATATATATATATATATACATAATATCTGCGTTTATAATATCTGTATGTGTGTATAGAGTGTGTATATATGTAATATCCATTCAGGTTTGTGTTCTACCCTGATCGTTTGGAATTCAGATCTCCATCAACTCTCTGAGGGCTAGGCCAACCGCCCAGAAACCGCTGACCAAGCATTCACCTCTCCGTTTTCAGCACCTCGCAAATTGATCGATGGAAAATGCAACGTTTCCCGGCATAAACTTGGTTTCTTCAAAAATGCCGGACGTGCCAAAAAAAAATATAGCTATTGGAGAAATTTGAATGGATTAAAAAATCAGATGGAATGGATGCCAGTTTTCAGAGAAACCGAGTGCTGGTGCTGGTGATATCTGAGGCCAAAGCCAGAAGCAAGCGCCTGGCCAGAGCTGAGGTTTCCTAAAGTGGTGGTACCCCAAAATGGATTCTTTAGAATGGAAAAACCTACTAAAATGGATGATTTGGGGGTAACCCCGTTTCAGGAAACCTCCAAATAAGTGGTGCAAGAATAGTTCGCAAGGAACAAGACTTCTATCTGTGAAAATGCCTTGGACCCTTGGAGACACGAAATTAGGTCACGTTTCGGATCGCAACTCTCCCATCTCTGAAGGTACAGTACCCAATGGCTTGACCCATATGTTATTGCCCCCAGTTGCAAGTTGGTTCTTTATAAACCCATCTAACTACATAGACTACACACATATCATGACATATCTGTCTGAATACCAAACAAAATCGTGACCCTCTGGTAATCAAACACTTTAATGGAAAATCATCCCTTTCTAGCGGGCCTTTCCATTAAAACCTCCATTGAATTCTAGGGGATTTCGCCATGCGCCTTTCCATAGTGCGAGAAAGAGATCGCCGTGATGGTGCTGGTGTGACCCTCGGTGCGCAAATTTCTTTGGTGTGCTGAAAAGGTCTGGGAAATTGAGAAAGGAAAATGAGGCCAAATGCATCAAAAATATAGATGTGATATATATATATATAATATATATATAATATATAGTATACAATATATATATGAGAAATGCTGAGGAG